TTGTGGGACTTCTGTAAACTCTAGCAGCAGCAGCTACTGTTCCAAAACAGCTGCTTTTATCATCTGAGTAGTATCAGTTCTGTGCTGAAGCAGGTGGAGCTGAAGTTTCAGCTCAGCTTTGCACCCAACCGACGGGAACTGATGGAGTGGAAGCATCCTGAAGATGTGAGCAATTCTTTTTGGAAGCAGAAAGATCTCAGTTTGTTGCTGTTGTTGTTGCTTTTTCCATGTGGGAAAGATATTCTCATTTAGGAAGCAGTATAGGTGGGATAGAATTTTCCTCCAATTCTAGTAGTGTGGAATAAGGAAAGAGAAGAAAGCAAAGAGCAGTGTGTTCGTGCTGTAAGCACTGCCGAAGTGGCCCTCAGGTAAGCCAACATGAGACAGGACCACCTGTGCCTAAGCTGTGGTGTGTCACTAGGGCAACCTGTGGAAAAATAAGAATCAATTACAGGTTTTTGCTAACTGCAGAATCAGAACATGGATTGGAAAAATTAGTATTAGTCCATTAGCCTATTCTATTTTGCTAATCTAAATAACTCTAAATCCCACCCATGTATCCTTTGAGAAGCTGATGAAAGCTGTAGTCCCTCTTACTAGAAATGTGCACATAGTAGGCTAAATATCTTAGGCTTTGCAAACCACATGGTCTCCATTGCAACTGTTCATGTCTGCTGTCTTAGCATGAGAGTATCCCCAGACTATAGGAATGGGTGTGGTGGTAGTCTCATAAAGCTCGGCATTCAAAAACAGGCAGCAGGCCATATTTGACCTGCAGGCTGTAGTTTGTCCACCCCTGGTTTAGAACATTGATAGCTCTGCTAGATTGGAATATTAATTGGCAAATATTCATCTTATCCTCCTCTTTGGGTGGAATATACATCCCGGCTCCATTGCCTTTGAACTTGGCTTTGAGACACTGGCCAATAGAATGTGAGCAGACATGATGCGTAGAGATATTTTAAATGTGTTTACATGCTCTAGCTTGTCTGATGTACTCTTGCCATTTGCCATGAAAAGAACATGTCCCAGGTCGTGCTGGTCTAAGGAGGAAGACAGACAGAGAGCAGTCCTAGACCCCACACACAGTTAGAAGCCAAGCTCTGCTACCCACAGCCAGAAGCGCAGTTGCCCAGCTGAGCCCAGACTGGATCAGCTGAACTTCAGGCTACCTACAGGCTTGTGAGCTCGAGAATAAATGTAGATTGTTTTAAACTATTGAGTTTTGGGGCAGTTTGTTAATGCAGCATAAGTGTAGAAATAGCTGGCCTATATTATAGTACAGAGGAGGACGGTTATTCATCTGGATGAAACAATTAAGACATGAATCTCGTCTACAAAAGCCAGAACAACAAAAGGAGATGTTTATCTCCTTACACAAATCCCAGAAAAAGATAAGGGAATATTTTTCTTTGTTTTATAATTCTCCGCCCTGCTCCTCATCCCCCATGCTTCTCCCATGGTTGGAATAAACCCTGAATTGTAGATTTAGCTTCCTGTGTGTACAACTAATCAATACTTAACACCCTTTTTGAAGCCAACCCCAAAGAGGAGCTCAGTCCTGAGAACTGAATATTTCGTACTTCTGAAACTATAACTGGGAAAATATCCAGGCTCTTCCTCCGAAACAAACAGTTGTGGTCTCCTCAATTCAGCAGAGAATTTTGAGGGCCTGCTCTGTGCTAATCTCTGTCCTGGGTGCCAGATAGAATTTATTCACTCAATATTTGTTTTGTTCCAGCTGTGTGCCATGTCCTGTAGTAGTCTCTGGGGACACAGGGTTGTGTAAGTCAAGGTCGGGGCCTTCAAGGAGCACACCAGCTCACAGGAGAGACAGGCGAGTAAGTGGATGATTAAGGCGCAGTGCGGTAAGCTGTAGCGTAAGTGCACATTCCAGGGGAGCTTGGAGGAGAAGCCCTTGACCATGCCTGGAGGTTGGAATGTGGGGAGCGTTTCAGGGGAGTCTTCCTGAAGGAATTGTCACTTGAACTGAGTCTTTCTGTAGGACATGGTTATGATGAAGCCCTGTAATTGTGGAGTAGAACAGGGCTTTTGGAAGTATGCTTCTCTTTCACATTAAAAGGGAGTTCTCTCTCCTGTTTAAGATTTCCCTCTGTCCCAGAGAGAATTCAATCTGTTGAGAGTCAAGCTCTCATCTTGACTCTCAAGTGCTTTGGGTGACTTCATTATTGAAGCTATTGCAAGTATCTATAAATTCTAGCTAATTAGCAGTTATATGCACTCAGCCGAGAAATAATGTAGTGATTCTCATTTGTCAAGGTGGGCATGTATACCATTGTATGATGTCAGTTTTTATGTTGCAGTAGTGTCAGATTTCTCAGGTTGATATTTTGCTTTGTTGTCCCTTTTTATTTATGTGGAGTGGCTTCAGGGAGGAGGGGCAAATGAGACTAAGAAAATGATCTAATTACCCTGGAAACGATTTCTTCCTAAAAACAGTCCTCAGTTTAAATTGTAAATTTGTTGAATTTTCTGGACAGTTTAGTGGATTTAAGAATTTAATTTTTAAATATAGTTGCTAATAAGTTATTAGACTGGCTTAAAAGCTATCTGGATTGCTTTTTCTTAATGTGGAATGCATTGTTGCAGAAAGATGCCCGTATTTATCCAGGTTCAGTTTTAGAGAACATCTTAGCTAACTTTGTGAACTTCAAAATGTGTGTTTCATCACAGAAAACATATTGTTTTCGCTCATTTTTGCTTATTGTTCCAGAATTAATTCTTAGAAGACTGGCAGATAAATTCAGTACTTTGCAGGCTTAAAAGAGTGAGTGTATTGGGGAATATGCCATTGGTATTCCTTCCACTACGACGGCATTGATCTCATTGAAACAGAAATCATGTAGAAATTCTTTCAAGTTTTGGAACTTTATATTTTCTTTTACAAAGTGTGGAAGTGGACTCTATTGTAGCTTTCCAAAATGTTTTCTTTGCTGATTGCTGACTCTGCAGAAGCCTGTTGAATGACCGAGATGTTGCCTAATGTTGCCCAGATCAGCTGAAAAAGGAGGGAAGAGCCTCTTAAAGGCCTGGAACATCTGTCTGGGACCCTAACAAAATTCCACTTGAATTTAGTCCTTCCCATTGTAAATAGGTGTGCAAAATAAGAAATTTGAAAAATATGAAAAAGGTAAAAAGAGGGGAAAAATAAAATTTCATCAACTAGAGATACGCAGTATTAGTATTTGATATATTTCATAAGTGCATTCTTTTAAAAATTTGGTTTTGATTTATATTACAGAACTGTGAACATAATGTGTATATTCTGGTTACTGTTCATATTTTGATCTAGTTATTATACCACAGGCATTCATAAGCATTTATTTTAATGACTGTACTGTGACTATACCAGGATGTATCTAATTGTTCCCCTATTGTTAGATACTTAGGTTGTTTTCTAATTGGGGTTATTGTAGATATAATAAATCTTTTTTAATAGAGATTTTTATTAAAGGTTAACACATAGACAGTTCATGTGTGCATACATGAACATTAGTGTACAGTATTTTGAATTTTTCTCAAGGCAGTACACCAGTGAAACTGCTACCTGTGTCATTAAATTATCACTAAGTACAGTCATGTTACCACTACTCAGGCCAAGAATAGAACTTGACCGTGTCCCCTAAATGCACTCCCCCCCAGTCACTGTTCTTTCCCTCTTCCTGGAAGGTGATCACTAACCCAGCCTCTAATCATGTAGATCAGTTTTTGCCTTGAAGGTCTACGATGAATTTCCTTTAGATTCTCAAAAGTGGAGTTACTAGATCAAGAAGTATGAATATTTTAAAGTATCTTGCTTCATATAACCAAATTGCTTCCAAAAATATCATGTCATTTTTATTACCACGTTGTTTGAAGATGTGGAAAGGAGTTTTCCTGTGTGAGAAGGGAAAGAAGTGAGGGTCAAGTGTAAAGGGACAGTTCTGGGCTGTGAATAGGACCAAATGGGGCCATATTACTTTAGGGAAATTCTAGCAATGTTTTGAAATTCTATTTTATCCACCTTGAAAATGCTCTTCTTTATCTGGACGTTGCCAGTCATCGTGACAGAAGGAAAGGAGGCATGGTGAACCATGTGCTGACTCCTAAGATCTGGACACACGTGGCACACACACTTCTGCCCACACTATGTTGGCCAAAGAAAGGCTCATGAGTTCAGTAGAACCAGGGGTATGTAATCCAGGGAGAGGTACTACTGTAGGAAGGGAAACTGGAATATTTGACAACTATATCCACCATACTTACTGAATGACTTTGCCTCATCCATGAGATCAGAGCATTTAGATTACTAATCTTTTACTTTTATTACAGAAGCACATCCTAGCCTTTGGCGGAGAGCGGGCGGGGTTTGCATCTCCACGTAAGGCTGTAACTTCTGTAATTATCAGTGGAGTGTTTGCATAATACTGAACTTTTCTGGGTGTGCTTGCTTCTTTTCCAAGAAGAGGCCCAGAAATGTGCTTATTCATTAAGAGGTGATAGAGAAATGCTAAATTCAGTTTATTAGATACTTTTTGGTGGAAAGAAATTCGTCTTTAGGAAACAAGTTTTTATGACTAGTTTACACTTTCTGGTTACGTACTCTCCGCAAGACAGTTCGGTAATGTTTTCCTAGTCCATTGGTAATGACACTTACAGAATTGTGGAGGTTTTCTGCCTGGCATGCCAAGGGAAGTGGCATGGCTTATTCATCAAGAGGCTTGCTGCAAGTTGTCAGGCACGGTGTCATGGTTAACATCCTGTGTTCAGCGTTTACTACTGTAAATTTGCATTCTGTATTGCCGTTCTTCTCCAAAATAGCTGTTTTCTAGTATTGATTAATAAAATCAAAAATTGCTTCTCATTTCACTTTCTCTTTATGTCTTCAGTTAAGACACTGTGATGCTCAGTTAGAGGGGTAGTTGCGCGGTGGTGGGGGTGGCACAGTGGTATTAGGTGAGCTCTGATTTAACATGGTGTCTCTCTTTTGTTCCCCAAAGATCTCTTCTCTCCAGGGATGGTGAAGTTGGAAAAAGGCTCCTTTAACCCTCCTCCAGGATGAACCCCCTGCCACAAGACATGGAGAACGCTCTCACAGGGAGCCAGAGCTCTCATGCTTCTTTGCGCGACGTCCATTCCATCAACCCTACACAACTCATGGCCAGGATTGAGTCCTATGAAGGAAGGGAAAAGAAAGGCATCTCTGATGTCAGGAGGACTTTCTGTCTGTTTGTCACCTTTGACCTGTTATTTGTAACATTACTGTGGATAATAGAGTTAAATGTAAGTTTTTTTCTCCATGACTTTGTAAGAGTTGTTTCCAGAGACAAAAGACAATTTTCTTATTTTTCTCATCGTTTCTGTCTCATTTAGTAGATTCCATCTTTTCCCAGATGAGGCAACATTGCACTTGTCTAGCTAATTCGAACCTTTTATTCTTTACTGTCACTGTTTAAAACAAACCTGGTTAATTTAAAACTGACTTTGTCCAGGATTTGCAATTTGATTTCATGGTGTTTTGCTCTGTAACAGAAGTTGGCAAACTATAGCCTACGTGCCAATTTCAGCTGACCTGTTTTTATAAGTAAAGTTTTATTGGAACACAGCCTTGCCCACCTGTTTACATGTTGTCTGTGGCTGGCTTTTGTGCTGAGTCATTGTGACAGAATCCATCTGGTCCACAAAGGCAAAAGTATTTATTCCCTGGGCCTTTTCAGAAAAAGATTGCTGATCCTTGCTTGAAAAAAATGTCACGGGCTTCTGGAATATGTTTTAGATGTTTCATCTACTTTTCTAATTCCCATGTGTAAGATTTTGCATACCTTTATTTTTCACTTTTTTGCAAAGACATTATTTATTCATATTTTATCCCAAAAATTGCCCTGGAGGCATTTGGAGGTTTGTGTGTATTTTGTCAGGTTTGTGCAGTTGTATTGCCGAATAATTGGCTAAGCCAGTCCTGTCCAACAGGAGTATGACGCAAGCCTCATGCGTAATGTTAAGTTCTCCAGTTGCTACCTTTATTTAATAAAAGTGAAAATATACAGGTGAAATTCATTTTATTAACACATTTTATTTAACCCAATATGTCTTTTTTCTCCCGAAGACTTGTCTTGGCTCTGTTTATGTTCCTTACCAGCAGGTAGGGGAACTTGTCCAGAGTGCTTTCCTGACAGGCACAGGTTGTCTGCTTTCTTCCATTTCAGCAATGCATTTATTCCTAAGAAATGTTTGCTAAGGCCTAGGTAGTAATAGTTATTAGCTGTTGTTTATTATTAAAAGGTTACTGTTTGCTAGGCACAGTACTAGGTGCTTTATAAGAAATTCATTAAAATAGAGAAAATATGAGAAGTTGCTGAGATTTCTGTTTGAAGATGATTTTTGACATTGCCTTTTAACAGAAACAGAGAACATCTTAATCTAAACTCTGGTTCATATTTTAATCTGTAAGAGCAGTTTTAGTTCTCCACTCTAGACTCTTAATGATTAGCATCTTTGGACTGATTTAATTTCCTCATGAATGTTCATAGAGGAACAGTACTCTTTATGAAAGCAGATACTTATATCAGAGAATAAGATTGGTCCCAGAATCACAGTAATCTGCAGCAGGAATCTACTCAAGTTTCTGTTTGCAGACTTTCCTTCTGTTAATGTAGCACTGTGGGTATGCCTTATTTTTGCCTAAAACCAAACAAGCTGGTGATCTTACTCAGTAATTTAGACTGTTTCTTTTTAGTATTTGTTCCATATGTATACATTAAAGAAAATATTTAAATTAAAGTATATTTTAAAGGAGTAATAAGTTTCTAAAACTAATAGCTGTGTACTGAGAGACGAAAAAGAAATGCATCTTTTAACAGGAAAGCATAGCAGTAGCTTTAGAGGAGTGCACTTAAAAATTATTGTAGTGACAGCACAAAATTAAGGCATTCTTTGAATAACCACTAATGTCACTGTGTGCTTGGAGGCGAGGGAAGCTGTAGGGTAGAGCTGTGGTGAGGCCTCACGGGATCACACTTCTCACTTCCCTCCTTCCTTACTGCTCCAAGGAGATGGAAACAGAAGTCAAATGGGCTGCACCCTCTTTCTGTTCATCAGAAGGGATCTGTTTACATTTGCATGTAACATGTTACAAATGACAAGTTTCCAGGCCTAGCAATTAATAAATGTTTTTATCCTCACTTATCCACTGACTACCAGTTTTCCCAGTTGTAAAAGTAAAAGATCACACAACAGTATGTGATCTTTAAGATCGTATATCATGACTTTAAGCAAGGTGTTTTCTTTTTTTTAACATTTAATTTCTAGTTCCATTTGCTTTGAATTGTCACTCCTGACCTGGGTTTTTCACTACACACCATACCAATTCTTTTCTTTTATTTTCTGTCTCTATAAATCTCTAATCACCCAAATCCGTTGTTTTTTTTACATGTCTATACATTTACTGAGGGCCAGGTCACAAGCTTCTGATTCTGCTATTGCAAGCTCCATAAAAAACTCTGGGAGACTTAAAGTTTAGCTAAGGAGCTGTGACATGTAGCTTATCCTGCCCTGTAGTATTGGTCTTTAAAAGAAAAAATAACATAAAGTGTGCTTAGGCCTTCAGAAGAGTGTGGGGACCCAGCTCTTCCATGCAGTCGTCACAATAATGAAAACACTTTCCTGTGTGACTTCCAACATAGGCAGCCACTTTTCCTCCTTGCTCCAGGGAGCTGACCGGCACCAGCCTAGTCCAGAGTGCAGGGACAGGCAGGCCTCAAGAAGCCTAACACCACCTTGGTTCATTTTCCTTCTGGAAGACCTTAGGGCAGCTGATCCGTTTTGGGCAAGTTGAAGGGGCAGTTCTGAGTCTGTCCTGGGTCTCTCGCTACACCCTTGAGTAGACTGATTCCCAGATTGGATCTGGAGTTCACCGTGGCTTGAGGCCTTGAGGACTTGAGGACGTGAACTTGAGGACTCTGTTTCTTCTCCAGACTCTTCTCCCCCAGGCTCTCTAGACTGATAGGAACAGGAATCAAAGCGGCAGTAGAAGGGAAGTTGTTTTCTTGTTTAGCTTTTGACACTTTGGTGGAGATTATGGTTTTAAAAAAGTTCTCTATCAATGCTTGTTGTCCGTTTCATTATTATTTTCTGACTAGTGTACTAGAAAGCGTCAGAATGCTTCTAGTTTGACCTGGAGCTGTCACGACCAGCTCTGTGGCCTTGAGTGGAGGAGATGGACTGAATTGGGTTTGGGAGGATGGGTGGAACTTAGGATAGAAGGATGACCGGGGGTTGGATTGTGGGAATAACAGGGAAAGGGCTTGGAGATCAAAGTGAGCAGAAGCACTGAGGCAGGAGTGTGTGCTTGTGCCTGGGGGGGTGTGTGTGTGTGTTTTGGAGGGGACAAGGACAAAGGCAGAAGAATATTAGCCTGGCTAGATCATAAGGTGCCTATAGGAAATGAAATTGCTTGAGTAAGCTGATTCTAGACTATTAAAATCCTTAAAAGCTATATGGAAGTGTCTGGACTTACTGCAGTAGTGAGCTGTTACAGGTTCTGGAGCGGATTGGAAATCCTGGTTTTGAGATCTTTCAGAAGTTAGTGACTTGCGTTCTACATCGTGACCTTCCTCCTGTGTCCAGTTGGACATCCAATGTAACATGCTCCCCACCAACACACACACAACCCTGCTTTCCGCTTTCTTCTTCATCAGTAAATGATATCCAGATGCTGAGGCCAAAAATGAAGACTCATTCTTGATTGGTTTCCTTGTTTGTTTTGTATTTCTCATGCCTCATTTGCCATCTAAAAGTCAGTCCTGTCAAATCTACCTGCAAAATATTTTCAAAATGTGACCTCTTCTGTCTCTACTGTTGGCACCCTCTACTGAGCCAACATTGTCGCTCATCCAAATGACTGCACCATATGCCAGCTGGTTTGCCTGGTTCCACTTGCACCCTCCTACAGTCCATTTTCCTCATAGTACCCAGAGTGACTTTTTAAATAAAAACATAAATCAGATAATGTTACTTTCTGTTTAAAGTCCCTCACTTACTAGAGCACTTAGAATAAAATCCAAATGCTGTAACTTGGCTTGCAAAACCTCCCCAGAAGCCTCTCCAGACTTCCTTTTCCACCATCAGTTCCTGGCCCACCAAGCTTAGCCAAACTTGCCTCCTTCTGTTCTCAGAATGGAACGAGCTCTCTTCTATCTTAGACCTTTATACTGGTTATTCCTTCTATCTGAAATGATTCATTTCCTTTATCTTGATGCAGATTCTGACTTCTTATCATGCTGGTATCAGTTTAAATGTCACCATGGAGAAGATGTCTGTGACTAGCCAACCCAACGAAGTCATCCATTCTGTCACACTGTCCTGCTCTCTTCTCGGTGTGGCATTTATTTTCTTATTTGTCGTCTCTCTCCCCTTGCTGGCATATAAACTCCATAAAGACGGAGATACTGCTTTGTTTACTGAAGCATTTTCTGTATTTAGAACAGTTGTTTGCCACTTAGTAGTTGCTCAGCAAACATTTGGTGATGGATAAAGGTCTTTGTGGCAGTGGTTTGCAGGTGGATTAGATTAGGGAGAGAGTGGCAGTAAGAACACTCACACAGAGGCTGTTGAAGGAATCCCATGTAAGGTGGTGGGAACAGAGAGGAAAGAGCTAACCTGCGATGTGTACTAAAGGAAGAAATATAGTGATAGGCTGACTTTATCATCCCCAGTGTCCAAAGGTGAGTCTACGGTTGGTAGACTCATGATGGAACCTAGAAGAAGGGTACCAGCCCAGATAGAACTGTGATTGGGAAAGGATTCCGTGTGAAACTGAAGATGAATCTATCTGGGAAATCTTGACCTAGAGACAAAGATTTTCAAATAAGAATTCAGAGTACAAGTTAAGGCTAGAGATGTAGATTTTCGATTTTTCTGTTTAAAGGCAACACAAAATCAGTCTTTAAAAGTATGCAGATAGCAGAGAAAACCTTTTTCTACTGGCTGTTTCTTGAAGAATTGTATGGTGCTTTGAATCTGTTCTCTCAGCCACGAGGGAGGGCTAATCAGTATGTGATAAGAACACTCTGCCGTGGGCCACTCGGAATAATCATTCTTTAATGTGTTGAATATTGGTGAGTTTCCTTAGTCTGGAGGGAGACAGGGATCAGACTACAGGTTTGTTGGCCTTTAGTAATTATTTCTCCTTGCTCCCAGGTGTTCAGTTCTTTTCATTTGTACAAGTCTGTAGTCAAGCAGATCTATAGCCAATCTGCATGAATCACACAGAAATCTAAATCTCCTTAAGGGATTTTTAAAGTTCAGAATAGTGTTTATAGTATACTTTCATTTGCATAATAAATACAAATATGAGAAAAGGTATCTAAGCCAAGACAGTCTTTTCCTTGTAGCAACTTTTATTCTAATTTGACCAGTTAACAAAACTTGCAGAGGTATTCCTTATTAATTTTTTCCCTTTTTTCTCTTATCCAGGTCTTTGGTTAATTGCCCTTCATTTTGTCCCCTTCAGACTGTCTGCATTGGTTTGCCAGGACAAACAGTGTCTGTGCTCCAGACTGGAAACTTGAATTTACTGTTGTACATCATGTTCCCTGTGGTTAGGCCAATCCATGGCCTAACAATGATAGAGTGTGTGCTTGAGAGCTGTGTTAGCTCCTGGACACACATTCCCTTTCTTGATTTCTTAAAAAAATATTATTTTCTGTAGTTCAATATGTAAAATTTTGAACTTGATCATCTAAAATTCAACTTGCTAGGAGAATTGGGAGAGGACAGAAAGTTTATCATATTAGCTTTAATTTTTATCATTTATTATAACTTTGTCACTCATGCTTGTAGATCTATTTTGTTATTTTATCTATTCAAGTTAACAAATATATACAAATATATATAAGTTGCTAAGAGTGCAGAATTTTAAAATGCCAGGAGCAAATAAAAAAGATAAGCCAGAGAGAATTTTTACACTTCTGTCCTGTGTCATGGTAACTGCTGTCATTGATGTTTACTCGGAGATCAGGAGACCCCTTGGCCAAAAGCGAGGGGAGCCAGATAAATGTGAATTGTCTTCTTTAAAAATATATGTTGGTACAATGGAAGACTTTATCTTAGAAGAGAAAGGAAAATAGTTTCTTATTTGACATTTAGTTTGACAGAATATGAACTACAAAAAAAGTCATTATTTTTCCTTATACATTTATATGCGTTGAATGAATTCAGAATTGAGGGGGGAAATGCTATTCAGCAGTCTCCTGTTAGAATTATGAGGGGTTTTTCCTTCCATCTTTTAACGTGTCTGGGTTCTGAGATAATAGGCAGAAGGAGTACACAGCACCTTCCTTGCATGTTCTCCTGTGTTATTTTCACAGCGTTGTCTCTCCTCATTGTTCCTTCTTACTCCTCCCCAGGTGAATGGCGGCATTGAGAACACCTTAGAGAAGGAGGTGGTGCAGTACGACTACTACTCTTCTTATTTTGATATATTTGTAAGTATTACCCGTTTTACATTTCATTTCAGATGTGAGGGGACTCTAACCAAAAGGCAAATCTCCTCTCAGTAGACTTCAGATTCTGTGCCATTCTTTCTTCTTCCCTTGAACATTATCATTCTTTTTCCCTTAGTTGCTGGCCCATTCAGTGCTCTCCCTCTGTCTTTCTAAGGAGTTGTCTGGTCAGCTCAAGGAAAAAAAAGAGTAATGAGAGAGAAGGGAGGGCAGGAGAAGGAGCCGTTTTGATTTTCTTGGCGGAGAACTTTTCCTGTTTCAAATGGCTCAAATAGAAGCCATTGGTGCCCCCTAATCACTAAAAGGAAAATTCACCGATCTATATAATAACACAATGAAAATGCCATTTTTTCTGCCTTGAGATTTCTGAGTGTATTTTTAGTACTAATTCCATGTTTCTTTTTTCGATAGTAGAGATTTTTGAGGAAAGGTGTATTGCTAATCTTGAGCAGCATTGGTCAGCTGTAGAATTACATAGGTGCAATTGTCTGTAGGTGAGGCATTGATTTTATTAGAACGAATGCTTGCAGTCTCTTGCTCAGACACACTGTGACTTTGATTGGGTTTGATCCATCTCCGTGGTATCTCTTTATGGTTGATAATATAAGTACATCAACTTCTAACATGATGTTAGACACAGCACAGGCACTGAAAATTCATAGTGAATTCATCCAAATTCATTTTAAAAACTTTATTCACTATCTTTAGTAGCTATATTCACAGTGGTAAGAGTAGGACTCTTAAAGTCAGACAAACCTGGGGTTGATTCACAACACTGTCACTAATTGTATATCTTTGAATATATTAGGTCTAAAGTTCAGTTTCCACATATGTAAAATGAATTCATCATAGTTCTGAAAAGTAAATGAAATAATACATGGAAGACTCTTAGCCCAATGGCAGGTACATCCTAGAAGCTCGGAGAACCACCTGTAGTCACTGTGGTCATTATTATGTTTGGTTGAGAATTTTAGTGGTTATATTTTCTAGTGGTTTCCAAACAACTCTAAAAAGCCTACTTATGTTTTGTTTGTGAAGAGACCTGCAGAAGAGTGTGTATGGGAAAGAGGTAGAATTCCCAGTAAATAGAGATCAAGGTTCTTTGTCATCACCCCCTTGCAAGCTGAGTAGTTCCATTTTTATCTGTACAGTATGTTAGCGTTCAAATAAGATTGTGTCAAAAAAGTGTTTGGCTGCTGCAGAATATTTGGAAAACCACTAGTGTAATTTAATCCCCTCATTTTTTCAAATGAAAAAATTGAGTTTCATAGTTCAGTGTCGTGACCTATCCCAGGTCATTGAAGTTGGTGGCAGAGCATGTTAGATCCCAAATCTGTTGATATTTCTTTGTTTTAAAACAACTGACATGTAATAACAAAATTGACTTCTTTTTTTCTTATTTCCCTTGCTGCATTTGTCTTAAAATAGTCTAAGCCAGGAATTGTCAGGAAGCCAGTTTAATCCACTGGCCAGATCTCCAAGGACTGTCTGTTCTCCATGCTTAGACAGTTAATGGTCAGGAGCCCATTAGCTTAGACTGGAAAGACTGTCATGCCTGGCCTGGGAAATGGACGCAGCCTACAGGAAACTTGGGGATCTGGGAGACTTCGAGATAGAGGGGGGAAAGACTTACACTTTTGTTACTTCCAGAATGCAAAGATATACTTAGAATGAATAGAGAAACTAAACATTTTGCAGATTGTTGGAAAACACATTTTTAATGAAAGCAGCAAATTAAAAACAAATATAATCTGCAAACTTCACTTACATCAAAGGATCTTAAGTGCAGTCAGCTAGTCAGTGGCAGCAAAATAGTAGTCAGCTTGCAGCGTTTCAGCGATTTTGATTGGTAAGGAACTGTTGGCAGACCCCCACCCTGGGGCATTGCTCGAGAGTCACCTGACTTCTTCCAACTCGGGATAAGCATATTTTCCAGTAAAATTGTATTCTGTCTTTATTCCTTAGTAGATGAGAGTTGCTAAGACAGCTGTGGCGTAGTAGTTAAGAGCCTGGTCTTTGGAATCAGGCTACCTGGGTTCGGATCCTGGCTTCCTTCCTAAGGAGTTGTGTGGCTTGGACGACTTTTCTACCCATCTTGTCTGGGTTAGTGATAGTAGTTGACTCATGGTGTTTTGTAGTGAGGATTACTTGGGATAATAATACACATAAAGAGTTTCACAGAAGTCCCTGAACCATCCTAACTAATCCGATGGTTGCTACTGGGAGGGGCAGAACTCTCCCAACACCCTGGTAGCCCAGAGCTTCGCAGTGGACTTTACAGAGAAACTGATATCTTCCAAAAGAGAGTGTTTGTGCCTGGAATGGAAAAGTCAGCTTTCAGAACATTTTCTCTAATCTTAAAAGGATATCAGAAATATATGTGGACTCAAATAGAAAGGAAAAACAAACATTTAATCATATGTTCTTTTTTTGGTAATGGGAAGTTAATTTGAGCCCTTATTTGGGTGGTATTACATAAATTCTACATCAGGAATCCCAAATGCTGGCCTGTAGACCATTGCTAGTCTGTGGCAGTCTTCAGCTAAATCAGAAAAATGAAGACGCTCTGGTGGATTCTTCATAAAACTAAATTATTTTACTTCTGTATATATTTTTTAAAACTTGTCTTTTTTTTTTTAATATAGCTTTTGGCAGTTTTTCGATTTAAAGTGTTAATACTTGCATATGCTGTGTGCAGACTGCGCCACTGGTGGGCAATAGCGGTAAGTGTGCCTGGGTGGGTGGTTCATCTCTGTGCTGGTGGCCAGGGCCTGCTCACAGCAGAGCTGAGCTGAGGGAAGATGCAGTCTTCATCTGGGTTGAATTCCACTAGCTTTTCTTGAGTCCCCTTCCTCCTCAGTAGGTTTAATACTCCAGGGCTTCTTTCCAGTGGTAATGAATAACTAGCTTTCTCTTAATGGATACTGAGCCAAGTGAGGAATCTGGAGGCCCACTGGTGATTATTGGCCGAGCACCAACCCACCCTTTACCTCATTTTGCAAATGAGAGATGAGATCAGTACCTCTGTCATGAAGATATTTGGAAAATTTCCTATTTGGTTGAAACTGCTTGATGACTTCTCATCACTTGCTCTTTGCTTGTTTTGATAATTCCCTTCCTCCCTGTTTTATTCTCCTCCTTGCAGTCTTAAAGGGAAAAGCTCCCATGCTCCTTTTGGTTGTTACCTTGGGGCTTCTTGAAGGCAGTGGCGTTTTTACTCATCTCTGTTTCCTTGCATCTAGCACAGAGCTTTGGCACATGCTATTCACCCTCAATAAATATTTATTGATTGAAAGAAGAATTATAAGCATTTCTGCCTGAATTATTTTTGCCATTTCCGCAGACGTCTGAACACTCACCTTTTTGAGAGCTCTAATAAGGCAGGTATACGGTGTGGCGGGGATGCTGAGCTCCTCAGGCTGGAGAGAACTGCTCAGGAGTAACCTGTAGTCCTGCTTTTGGCCTCTGAGACCTCGGTCTGTGTGTGGGCTGGTGCAGGCTTGTCCAGCTGGGAATGGAGTTCTGTTTCTCTCCTAAGGAGTCCGCCAGGGGCCACGTCTGCCTGAAGCCATCTCTCCTGAGCATCCGCAGAATCACAGGGCTGATGTCAGACTATCTGTTGAACCCCAAGCTCACATTTTACAGATATAGGCTGACAGCTTAGCCAGAATTGACGCCGTTTCATGAGGACTCTTTTGCCAATACCAAATAGCTTATTATCCTTTCCCTGTTTTCTACAGCAGTCCCTGTTTGGGACATTGTATTCCAGAGTCTCCATAATGTACGCTAGAATTTGTCAGACCATCTGTCTCAGTGTTTGTTTCAGATAAGTAGTTGACTTTCAATGAGAGTTTTAGGAAAGTATCTTCAATATCTGCTTTCAAAGGGACAGGTCAGATTTAGCATATCCATTTTAATGTTGCTCATTCTTCTTTTTAAAAACATTTGCAGAGGGGGTCCAGGCAGCTGGAAGGAGAAGTCAGCTGGTACCTAAAGAGCACTTAGTGTCAACCCGTGAAGTTATACAGCAGCAGAATGCACAATGCCTCTTTTCCCAAGCAGCTCACTCTGGCTGGGGTGTGTGTGTGTTGGTTGTGTTTTGCTAACAATTGCTGACTCTGATTTTATTAATGCTTACTGAGCATGACACCTGATGTCCCCTGACCTCCATCCTGTCAGTCGAGGCCACTGTTGGCATTCACTTTAGCTAGGTTTCATACTGCTACAAATCTAAGTTGGAGCATGGAGTGACAAGATGCACCTCCTGTGAATTATCTCTGGGCTCCCCAGCCCCTAGGGGGAGCCCTGCCCCTGTATTTCGCTGGTCCCTCCCTCCATGTGGTGATAGTGGCTTTGGATGTTGTACCCTCTGATGGACCAAACTTAGTTTCCTAAGACACCAGTCTGCTAAAGTGTGGGAGAGGGAATCCACAAGCAGCCAGTCAGGGACTGTGTGCCCCTCAAAGCCCAGTTTGCCCCAGTGTGGGTTTAGGGGATAGAGATAGAGTGATGTGGGAAGGAGCCAGGCCAGACATGGCTTTTTCAGGCGTTATGTGCTTCTGGCTCAGAGGAGTCTCTTGTGTGAGGAAAGTGCCTTCACAGTGTCCGTGTCTGATTTGAATGGTGCTGGATTATGTGTCTTTCAGTTGACGACAGCAGTGACCAGTGCCTTTTTACTAGCAAAAGTAATCCTCTCAAAGGTATGGCCTACCCCCCTTTCTGTACAATTACCGCTTATAATACCAAAGCCTGTTTTCCGCTGTGAGCTCATGGTAACTACATTTCCCTCTCTTGGTCCCGTCTGTTCCTCCAGCTTTTCTCTCAAGGGGCTTTTGGCTATGTGCTGCCCATCATTTCATTCATCCTAGCCTGGATCGAGACATGGTTCCTGGATTTCAAAGTGTTACCTCAAGAGGCAGAAGAAGAAAACAGTAAGTTTCTCTCAAAGTAGCCTCCTGGGACCTGCTGGGTTCCGGGCTGGAAGGAAGAGTGTGGATGTGGCTGTGAATGGAGCTGCGGGTGGAGGTGGGCGGATCAGGGGTCTGCCTTCTTCAGTGGGTGCAGCAGACATCTAGAGCAGGGCTGGATGAAAGGAGAGTGACAGAATGTGGCTCCTCTCTCAAGCTCTTAGGCCAAGCTTCCCTGGAAGAAAATGAGACACTGGTGGAAAAGAATTCAACAAAAATAGCCAACACCTCTTTTTCCTCAGACAGGTTGACCTTTTGTTCTATTCATAGTAGTCACAGAACATTGAGCATTTTTGGCATCTAAACAACTGCGTTGTTTAGGCACAGAGGAATGTAAATCAGTCTTAGGTGAGCTGAGACAGGAGTTCTAAATAGAAGTCAGTGATTTTCCAAAGTCTCACATTGCTATCCATACAGCAGGTGGTGCCTTTGAATGTGCCTTAATTAGAACCTAATTGTTGAGTGCCTAGAGGAGATTATTGGTGGGCCAATGATGAAGACAGTTCAGAGGAGGAAGAGAGCAAGGTGGAGAAATGCTCGGTCATCTCAGGCTTTCACCAGCCTTCTCTGAGTAGCTGAGCGGTAGGTAGCGTTGTGTAATTGTGAGTTCTGCCAAAGCTGTTATGCTTCCTCTGTGTGGCTCTGAGGATCCCTGGATATTAACCAAGAAGTCCAAATGATTGATTGAGCTTTATGATTAATTATTGGACTGGAATTCTTCTCTGCATTGTGGCCTTAATAAGAAGCCCACACACCCCACCCACCCTCTTGGAGGTGACATGATCAAAGGTTCATACGGAGCCTGAGACGATTCCAAGACATGCTGTTTTTATGCTGTGTCATTCATCTTGCTCAATTTGCCCTGCCTAATAGGGAAGAAAGTCTTGTGTCTTAGAGAAAGTTAAGCGTGATTATAACCAAACAGAAGGAAAGATAAGCTTGCAAATGGTTAGTTTTGAAAAATCTCATTTACAGAGAAGAAATCTATAAGAAAAGAGTTATAATTCGAGTAGATTTTAAAACACATATTAATCAGACCAAGGTGTGTCTTCTATCCTGTGCCCTCTGTTCCTTTATGAAAATGTATTGTGGAGTAGGGACAGGTAAAGCTAGTGGAAGCCATTTCTTTTTTAATTGGTTATAAACATCAAATTGAACTTTGTTGAATCAACTGCTAAGGTGACTGAGGCTTGAATACTTACGTGATTAAACCAAATTCAAAGTAACTAATAAAGCAGAGCACACAATTAATGAAAAATTTTAGAGTAGCATCTATTTTCACTGTCTGTAACATATATTACATGCATTCCTGGCAACTGCTCGTTGGCCGGGTGCTTCCCCCGACTTTATCTCAGTGTTAACTCAGCTTTAGCCGAGTTGTCGTCGGCCTCTCTCATCGTGTGTTAGTGCTCATGAGCTCTCTGCATCATGCTTCCTCCTCTTTTCTTTGTTTGTTTTACTACACTTCTTTTCTGGGGTGACCTTTTTATTGCATACATATTTCTCCATCATGTTAATTATGCTTTATATATTTATAGAAGACTGCCCATTTATTACACTTTACATCTGGCATTTCTCTAACCAAATGCCGACTTTGTACTTTGGCTTTGTCTGTTGGTTTCTGTAGGGAGGTAGGTATTCCCAAGGGAAAGAGGCTACAAATAGTGAGTGAAGGAATCCCACGAGTGACATGAGGCAGGTTTTTAAACTAGTTGGGATCTGTTCGTACAGTCCCAGTTCATAGTTTATTAATAAAACTTTTATTTTTTGGTTGAAAAATTTTCAGGGTACGTCTTTTTATTGTGGTTAGCTGACCAAGAAGCTGCCAGAACAGTGGCATCATTCCCAGCATCTGAATTTCTTCTCTTCTAGGACTGCTGATAGTTCAGGATGCTTCGGAGCGGGCAGCACTTATACCTGGTGGTCTTTCTGATGGCCAGTTTTATTCTCCTCCTGAATCTGAAGCAGGTAAAAAATTTGATTATTTGTGTTTTGGTCCATCATTCAGAATTTTGGTCCCCCTCCCCCCCCATCTCAATACACTTGGCAAACACTGAACATACCAGGCATTTAGGATATGAAAATACCTGAGACGTAGTCTTGGTGTGCGACCAGTGGTGAGACAGAGAAGTAAACATGAATAGAGGGCCACAGACACTGTGATTTGTGACCTGCATCTTTGAAGATAGGCAGGCAGGGGGAAGGTGCTCTCTTTGTCAGCCCTAAACTGACCTTCCTCCGGGATTCCCCACGTCTGAGAGTGGCAGCACTGCCTATGCCCTTGCCCAAGTCAGAAACTGGAGCGTCACTGGGGCTCTGCCCTTTTCTTAGGGCTCACACTCCATTACTCACCGTGCTGTTTGGCTTCTCTTTATTTCTGCCTCCTTTATCTCAAATTGTACCACTTGATATCCTCTCCAACCTCAATTCAGCATTTTTTGTTTCCATTTCTACAACAGCCTCCCGTCTCCCTTCCTCAGTTGCCTTCTTGCAACCAGCCACCAGTGTACCACGTTACAAATAACAATTGCGTTATTCTAAGGTTTCTTCGTGACCACTGTATGATGTGAAAGTCTCATTATTTCTGTTTTAGAGATGAGAAAATTGAGGCCCAGAAAGGTGAATTAATTTGTCCAGCATCACACGAAGAATGAGAGGTAGGCCTAGGGTTTGAACCCTGGCTCCAGTGCTAGAGTCCATGCTTATGGCTAATAAATATGCAGCCTTTCAGTATTAATAACACCAAATTGATCATGTTATTCCCCTGCCCAGAGGCCTGCCTCTGAAGGCTTTATGCCACTGAAAAAAGGATTCAGAAAGCCATGGATCCTTCACCCGGCAGACAGCACCTCTGTGACCACCCTTACTCAGTTGTCCAGCCTCTCTGTCGCTCTCTCCTTGTGTACTCTTCTGAAAGTGCTGGGCGCCCAAACCCTGAAGCTCCTCGCTTTTTCTGTCCTTAACACTACCCCTCTGCAGTCTAGTCTCCACTCACATGTTCAGAAGGCCCCTCCCCACCCCTCACCCCTGTTTCCAGGCGGTCATAGGTACAGTGTCCTTTGCCGGCTCTTTAGGACTCTCCCATGTCATCCTGTCATCCTGGGTTGGCTGCACTGTCTTCAGCACTGACCTGGCCTGTTTCTCCCACTGGGGTGTAAATCTGAGTTAGAAACTACTTTATTTTATTCCCAACATAACACTTAGTGAATATTTTAGACACACACACACACATACACACACACACACACACACACACACACACAGTATAATAAAACAGCTTCCACGCAGAAAGAGCCGTGTGAATGATCAAAGGCACAGCAGCGTGACGTACCATGTTAGGGGACTCCAAGTAACTTGATATTCTGGACTTTCGGTGTTGGATCTAAAACAGTATAAAACACAAAAGCATAGAGTCAGATGCAATAAAGATATGAATTAGCAGAAAATCTCTTTCTCAGCCAGTACAAACTCAAGTATTAAACTTTTCATTACCTTATTAGAAGGATTATTTCATTGAGATTTTTATATGTCATAGGACTCATTCTTTTAAAAAGAAGTTTGCATTGTAATTCATGCTTTTGGATAGCTTTTATTCTTCTAGGACTAATAAAATTTCTCAGCACTAGTGTATTTTTTTGCTTGGAAGTTCAGAGCAGCAGGATGATAATGATGTGAGGGAAAGCATCTCAGATACTCCTCGTCGGGCAGTCCATTGGCTTCCTACCTGTGGCTTTTACCACCACCTAGTGGTAGTTGGAAGCATTGCCGTTTCGTTGGATTATGGGGCTAAACAAGAACAAATAGTGTTCTGATGGGTAGCTGCTTTATTTAAGGCACAGTGCAGATTGGTATGGGGCAGAGAGGGCGTATTCAAAGTGGCTCACTTTACTGTATTATATTTGCATTGTCTGAATGTTCAATTTAGGAGAGAATTAAAAGTAAAAACTGTTGCTGGAATGCATGTGCCTAGGAAAGAAGGTTCTGCTCTAGAGTAAAGCTTGCTTGTTAGCCCAGTGGCTAAGTATCCAACAGTCTCTCAGCAACAGAAAGCTGCTCTGAGACAGCGCTGACTGGCCCTCGTAGATTAGGGGGTCTGGGCCCTGCCTTCCTTTTCTGGTCTTGCTTTCTCCGGCACCATGTACGGTGCCTGGCATGTAGTTCTGAAAAGAAGAGAGAAGGAAAGAAATTGCAGGCACCAAAAATTACAATGTGAGCATTTTTCCTTGTAAAGGAATGGCTTCAATTTTAGTGTCAGAGATTTGGAAGCCTAGCACATTTTATAGATGTCCTTTGAAAGGCTGTACAGATGGTTGGTGTGCAGGTTTGCCTGTTGGTCTAATCACATCCTACTTACCTGTGTATTAAATGGTCTTCTCTCAGATGACTGGTTGAGGTTGTTGGTTGAAGTTTTGGCCAGACGGCTTAAATGAACCAGTTGTGATGCTGGGGAAAGGGTAATTCATTACCTGCTAAATCATCAAAAGACTGACTTAAAATGAAGAAGAGCTCAATTGTATAACATAATCTGTTCTAAGCAAATATAGATGAAGGCATTAAAATTCGAATTGGATGCCTACTGAGAATAAACATACATGCTGGTTTGCCAGAACAGTCTTGGTTTACTCCTCTGGCCCCATGTCAATATTATAACTCCTTTTATCTCTCAGAAGTATTCTTGTTTAGAGAATCAGTTACATAGTCACCCTGTGTATAGTCAATAGATCTGAAACAGTTTTCTAACTTTTTAATTACAATTTTGGAAAGTATTGAAAAACGATAGCTGAGGATATTAGGTAACATTCATGTTTTTAAAAAACAGCTTTTTAATTTTTGGTGAGGAAGATTGGCCCTAAGCTAACATTTGTTGCCAATCTTCCTCTTGTTTTTTTTCCTCCCCAAAGCCCCATTACGTAGTTGTATATCCTAGTTGTAAGCCCTTCTATTTCTTCTATGTGGGGTGCCACCACAGCCTGGCTTGATGAATGGTGTGTAGGTCTGCACCCAGGATCTGAACCAGTGAACCCCGGGCCACTGAAGCAGAGTGTGCAAACTTAACCACCACAACACCGGGCTGGCCCCCTTTTTAAAAACAGCTTTAATGAGGTCGAATTTGCACACCATAAAATTCATCCATTGTAAATGTGCAATTGCATGATTTTTGGTAAATCTGTAGTTTTTTAAACAACATCACAGTACAGTTTTAGAACAATCTTATTATTTGAAAAAGTCCTTTATTTCTAGTTAATCCCTGCTCCTACTTCCAGTCGTAGGTAAACCGCTGATCTGCTCTCTGCTTTGAAAGTTTGCTCCCTTGGGACAGTTAATGTAAATATAATTGTAGTTTTTTCCGTCTGGCTTCTTTTACTTAGCATAACGTTCTTGAGGGTTGTTCACGTTGCAGCGTGCGTCAGTAGTTTGTTCCCTTACATGGCTGAATCCTTCTCTGTGGGATGGATACACATCATTTTATTTATTATCAGTTGATGGACGTTTGGATTGTTTCCAATTTTTGGCTATTCTGAGTAATAATCCTGCTATGAACATTCACGCACATGTCTTTGTGGGGACGTATGTTTTTATTTTTCTTAGATAGATTCCTAGGAGAGGATTTGCTGCGTCATGGAGCAAGTTTCTGTGTAACTTTTTGGGTGATCGCCCAACTGTTCTCCAAAGTCACCGCACCATTTTACCATCCCTCCCGCAGTGTTGTAGAGTTTGTGTCTCCATGTGCTCACCAACACTTGGTGTTGGCCGTCTTTTTGATTATAGTCGTTCTAGCAGTTGTGAAGTGGTATCTCCTTGTGGTTTTACTTTGCATGCCCTTAATGACTGATGACATTGAGAACTTTTCACCTGCTTATTAGTTATTCATATATCTTCTTTGGAGAAGTCTATTTGAAAGTGTTTACCTTTTCTTTTTTTTTCAGTTGCATTGATTGTCTTCTTATTGAGTTGTAAGAGTTCTTTATATGTTCTAGATAAAAGTCCTTTATAAGTTACATGACTTGCAGATGTTTTCTCCCAGTCTGTAGTAGTCTTTTCATTTTCTTTGTGGAGCATTTTGAAGGACAGATTTTTAATTTTGATCAAGTCCAGTTCATCAAAATGTATTCTCTTCTGGCTAATGGGTTTGGGGGCATGTCTAAGAACTCTTTGCCTTAACCCTCTGCCACAGAGATTTTCTCCTATATTTTCTTCCAGAAGATTTTGCAGTTTTAGCTTTTTCATGTAAGTTTATGGTCCATTTTGAATTAATTTTTGAGTATGGAGGAGGTAAGGAACTGAATTTGCTCTTTTGAGGCAGTGCCGTTTGTTGAAGAGATTGTCTTTTTCCCCTTGAATTAACTCAGCACGTTTCTCAAAAAACAGCTGACCGTAAACATAAGGGTTTATTTCTGGACCCTCAATTCTCTCCGTTGACCTGTGTGCTCTCCTTGCCCCAGGAGCACAGTGGCTCGAATACTGTGATTTTATTTTTAGGTAACTTTGAAATCAGGTTCTGTAAGGCCTTGCTTGAAGGGCCTGCCCTGCTGTGCCCAGAGACCTTGATTTTGTAGTAATGAACCTTGTCAGACCCTCTGGTGTGTGTGGCATCATCAGTCTCAACATCCAAATCTCATTTTGGAGGCTCCCTCCCCTCACTGCTTTTGTGGTGTGACCATAACAGTCCTCCATCTTTGTTCTTTGTCAAAATTATTGTGGCTTTACTAGGTCTTTTGTGTTTTCATGTAAATTTTAGGATGACTTTGTTAATTTTTGCCCCAAAAGTCTGCTGCATTGATTTTATAGATCAATTTGGGAAGAATTAAAACACTTAAGAATTAATTTAACAAATGAAGATTTTACCCCCTTAATGTTGCTTTTATTGCTGTTTGTTTGCTTAGAAAATTGCCTGAGCTATATCTGTGAAATTATGTCCCTTGGGGTGTGTGGCTGCTGATGTCTCTTCTCAGTGTTGTTTTTTCTTTTTAATTCTTTTATTTTTAAGCCTAACTTCCTAGTGGGCACCCCTGTGTCTGCATAGCTTAGCGGTGGCCAGTGATTGGACAGAGATCGTGCTCAAGCCCCTTGATTAAAACTCCCGTCCTCTGTCAGGTGGATAAGTGTATGTATTGGGGCGCAGATTAAAAGTTGAGGCCATTTTGAGTCTTCCTCCACTTGTACTTTTGCTGAGTCCTTTCACGTCTCCTCTGCAGGTGCTCACAGCCTCAGGGTTGCCCAGAAGTGTTTGGCTAGTCTGGGCTCTTTCGGGTCTCTGCTAAGCATGCACACAGCTTCAGCCTAGCATATACTTGCTGCAGCCACGACCACAACTTCAAATCTGCAGAGACTCTGGCCCTTCCCGCTTGCACACCATTGAGTTTGTCAGGTCACCATCACATCACTCCTCACCCCAAATCAAGTGAGCTCCCTTCACCTGGCTCAATTTTCTGCCCTTCCTCATGGATTGCCCTGCCTTGGATGAACTCTCCTGCCCATCGAGCTGGGTGTTGGGAGGTGAGGAAGGAATGGGAGCAGCTCCAGGCAAGAACACCACTGTTGTTGCCTGAATTCTGCAGGTTTTCAAGCACAAACACTTCTCAGCCTGTTGTATGCCTGTTGTCTGTCATTTCCTGAGTGCTGAAATGGTTAGTTTTGTTCATCTAGTCCATCTTGTAATTGCTTTTCAGAATGAGAACTACTGACCTCCTCACTTGACCAGACAGAGTCAGAAGGCCTTGCTAGCATTTGTGTTTATATTATGTAAAGTAAACATATTATGTTTTAATTAAAAATTTGGCTTTATTTAGGATTCCCTAATAATTGCAAGACGTGTGAGTTCGTTGTGGCTGCAATGCCGTTAGCCTGACAGGTGGAAAGTGAGCCCAGAAGCAGGAAGACTTGGTCTGTCCGTCTTCCTCAGACTCCTTTCAAAGGGAGAAGGCAGTTAAACCACCCCAGTGTCTCTACGATTTACAGCAGTTTAATATGCTGGGATGTGAAGCCTTCCAACCCCTATATCTTTCTCTATTTATTTTACCACAAACGTAACCTGAACTGTGTGACATTGATGAGGTTAAGATGTGGGACAGGATCTTCATTTAGGATCCTCAGCCGTTCTTTCTCCTGTACCAGGTTTGTTCTTGGCTATAATCCAGGTAGACATTCTCATAAGAAAACATGTCCCTCTTGAAGTGTTTAATGTGACACGAGGACAGCACGGGAGGCAGGCTGCTTCTGAGTGTGAGGAGGTCACATCCCTGACCTGCTGCTTCGGTCTTCTCACCGCTCCCTTTAATTCTCTTCCCCGATTGTGAGAGTACTGCAAGCTTATTATACAAATGTGGCAAGACAAAAATAAAGATCCCCTTTCCTTCACAGGACTCAGCAACATCAGTGTGACAGTTTAGTTTGTTTCCTTCTACTTTGTGTCTGTAATTAACACAATTGTGGTCACACTGCCCATATTATTTATACCCCATTTTAGAAATTAAAAGGTCAGTTTCAGTTTGTTGTAGAAATTTTGTAATCTCCAGAAATGTATGAGTCACCTGGTTATTTCCATCAAGTCATTCTGATTTGCACATTTATATTAATTTTATTGTTATCAATTATGCTCTTACAGTACTTCCAGTTTCATTTATTACATATTTGCTTTTGCTTCATAGCACGTTCATTTTACATGTTATAAACTATAAATATAATTTTAAGTGGATGTAAGATATTTCGTGGGATCATAATTATTTAACTTCTACTCTCAGGCATTTAGATTTCTTTTCTAATTTTTAGAGCGAAAATCTACATAATGGAAAACAAGTATTATTTCCACCAGTGTGAAATGACTGACTCGAATGCACAAATAAGATAAGGCTCACGAGGCAGTGACCTGGAATGGTTGTAGCAGTGGTCACTGGCAACAGTCATGAGAGTGACCATGTGGCATCTCTCTCGGCATTAGGAAGCCCTCACTGCTCTCTCAGTCACTGGAGACAGCGACTGTGAAAATATGTAGGTTAAGTTATTTATCCCAAAGCTCACAGTTGTTTACACTTGAAAAACGTCTGCAGAGTTTTCAGCAAAGAAGAATAGCAATGGGGAAGAATTCTTGGTGTATTCAAATATTTTTAGAAGTACATGAGTGAATCCATTTTGACAGATTAGTGTGGGTTATAGTGCCTATTTTAAAGGCTTTCCTCCTTTAAGATATAAAGTAAAACTTAATTTTACAGTTAAAGTTTTGTTAACCTAAGTCTCTTAAGGATTGAAGAAGTGTCTCTCTCATTTAAAATATCATGCATATATGTTGTAACTTGAAAGCAATCGTTTCTCACTTTACTGGAATGCGATGCTTTTTCTCCTTCCCCTTCCCTACCATGTAGGATCTGAAGAAGCTGAAGAAAAGCAGGACACTGAAAAACCACTTTTAGACCTATGAGTACTACTTTTGTTAAAGTAAGTCTTTGAAAACGAAACTATAACGACAAAGTAGTTAAACATGGAGCATTTTCTTTGAGTAGATTCAAAGTAAAATTCAAAGAATTTGAGTGTGAGTGAACAGCAAAATTTGTCCTATTTACATGAATTTATCAGTCACATTTTATTGAGATAACGTTTCTTAATGTTTTCTGCGTAGGTGTAAATTTGTGAAGTAGGAAAAATACCTCAGAGTCCCAGATTACTAAAGGATGAGCCTGAGTTCATTATTGTTGACTTAGTCAGAATGTCTCTGTGTCAGATGTTGTTTATCCTCAAACCCTAACTTAGTGAGCTGTGGGGTCGCAGTCCTATGAGATGTGGTCCTCTTATTGTCTCCATTTATACCTGAGGCGAGTGAGACTAGAGTAGGTGAGTAACTTGCCCAAGGTCACACGGAGCAAGTGGCAGAGCCAAACTCAGGCCCGCCCAGTGTGGCTCCAGGGTCCCCTCCAGCCCTGCACTGGGATGTCTCTCAAGTGCTCTGGAGCCTCAGAGATGCAGGATGTGATCGTCAGAGCAGCAGCTCATGCTGGGCCTCAAGCTGGGCACGTGGTTGAGTCCCTTCAGGTCATCACAGGAAATAGTTCATCCTCAGAGACACAAGCAAATAAACTGAAGTCAACTGTAGCAGCAGCGACTCTGCCTAATTGTTTAGTCACAGAAGGGAGAGGTCGTGGGTGGACTCAGAGTCGTGGAGAAGCAGAGGCGGCCGGAGTCGTGGTGGGTGGAGGCCCCGTGCCCGCAGCAGAAGCACCCGACACGCTGCGGCCCCTTCTTTCCGCAGCAGTGGTTGACGTGAAGCAACAGTGTGAGCGTGTGAATAGGAGATCCTCTTCTAAAACGCCTTAAATAGATTCTGTGTGGCCACGCCCAGGTCCTTCAAGTGTCTGTAGCACAGCTCTTCTTCAGCACATAGAAATTATTATAAAAACATAAGGCAATGTGGCATTTTGCCTTTACACTACATCTCAAATGTTTTGTGTTCTCTTTTTTCTAGTGTGAAAAACCCTCATTGAAAGTCACTGGAGGAAAAAAAGGACTGGAGGTGGGGTCTCCCTATTGAAGGTTGAAATGGTGACGTCCACTGCTGACTTCACTGAACGGCTAATAAAGAATTTATTTATTGTAATACCTCACAGACACTGTCCCACATCCACATCCATTCAGTGGCCTGCCTGTGGCTGGTAAGATAAAGGAATGGTCCACCTTGTATTTGATGAGACTGAGTCTGATCTGTTAATGAATCGTTGCAAAAAAGTCTCGTGCCGCATTCCTAATCAAAAGACTTCTTAATATATTCAAATAATACTGTTTTAGTAAGCAAAGTATCATTTTATTTTGATTCACAGAATGGAATTTTTTTGTTTCTTGTCTCAGATTTCTTTTGTATTTCTTTTTTAACACCTTACATTTCCCTTGTGTTTTTTAACTCATGCACATGCGCTCTTTGTACAATTTTAAGAAGTAATAAAATCCAACATATCAAAATGATTAGTTTTATTTTCCTTGTTTTGCATTATGTATTTGGCCAGAAGTGTTGGGATTACAAAGAGAGGACAAGGAGGGATTGTGGATACCTATAAAAGGTCCCCAGACATTTTGTATTACTTTTATCATGAAATAGCATTTCTCCTAGAAATATGGTTCTGAAATAGTCTGAGTACTCCTGTTTTCAACCAACACTATGAAATCATTGCCATCATTTTTCCTTTGTGTTTAGCTAATTTGAATTAAAATGACCTAATTATATGGTGAGAGGTTTTTTTCAAACATGAATATTCACCTCAGTGCTTCATAGGATGGCAGCCTGTCTCTTAGTTTTCCTTCATTGTTCATCGAGTCATTCAAGAACAACTCAATTGTGTTTGTTGGGAATGGTGCTGGTTTGGGTAGAAACTGGCCATTTGTGCAGATCTAGTCAACTCCATGTGTGCTTGTTTTAAGAATGGGCCAAATGACAACAATGCCATTGGGCATCTCTCTGGGAGGCTGGGCCCTAACGACGAAGAGCTTCCTGTGGAGGAGAGAGGGGCGAGGAACAGCTCCAGGGGCTGCTGTGGGACTGAAGCCTCAGGAACTCAGTGGTGTTAGCACAGCGAGCATGTCCTGTCTCAGGATGGAGTCATACACACCAAGAGAGTGGGTGCCCCGGCCCACAGGTGATGGCTAAGCAGGATGTCAGTGTATTAATGTAACCTGGAAAAGAGCTCTCCTCCAGACATGCTGGGCTCAAACAGCAGATGCAGCCAATCCTGAGAGGAAGCCAAGGCTCACCCAGAAGTTGGCTCCCAGAGTATAGACCAAGAGGAGTAAAGTATAAAATTTCAATGCTCTGTGAGGTGAAACTGTGAAAGCCTAAAGCATTGATCTCAACAATAGAGCTCCACTTCCCCTAGGATGGACAGATTGAGTCCGTGGGTCTGGGTACCCGCTCTCTCCCATGCTTGGGTAGATGGCGGTGGGAACATTTGCTCTTTATGCTCACATTGCTGAACAGCCCTCTTCTAATTGAGCCCAATCACGCTTTTCTCTGATGTTAATGTCCTCTATTAAGTATTACTCAGGATGACTCTGACTCATTAGAGGGACTTACATGATTCAGTAAATGACATTCAGTTACACAGTTGCACTCAGGGCCTCTGTGTCTCTGTGTTCCTGTGAGGGAAACAGGACATCACTGTTGCCCACGTCTACAGTCCATCCGTGCTGCCGGGTTCACAAGCACAGATCTGTGTCACCCTGTCTACACTGAGAAGATGAAATCAGAAGGTACCAGTCTCAGTAAATCAAACAGCATGGAAGAGCTTGGATACTTGATGGACTGTTAAGATAATGTTCGTGCTCCAGGGTGTCCTGTCTGCTCTTTCCTTCGGAACAGGGTCACGAGAGTGGACTGAGATGCAGCATCTGAACAGTCCTGGGAGTAAGATTCCCAACTCACACTGTAGCTAATTGGAGTAAACTGTGTATAAAAAGCAGGGCACCCCCTACCACAGCCTAAGAGTATGTTTGACTGCAATCACATGACTGTGTAGATGGATATTTTCCTCCCATTAGCTATGGCCTTTGAAAGTGCAAGGTTGGTTGTGGTTTAACTGTCCTTACTTTATCTCATGACACCCTAGCCACTGCTTGCACAACTCCAACCCGTAGGGGTCGGTTTGAGTTTGAGCATTCTACACGAATCAACCACATTTGACAGAGCATGTACACAAAAGAAGCCTGAGAAAATAACACACCAGCGGCCACCCCAGCCCCCTCCCGCCACCCAGGCTGTCTCCTCCACCGCCACCTGTGCTCTCCTTCTCGGTGCGGCTCGTTCAGGGCAGCCCAGGCCCAGTGCGGGAGGAAGCTGCTCAGAAGTTGGAAGTCACGGGAGACGCTGCCTACTAGAGCTCTGCCTGAGCCTCTCGGTCCCTTTCTGTAGCATCCCCCCAAAAAGCAGTTGCAAACCTGGGACACACAGAATAAAGTAGAATTTCCATACTCTTGATAACAAAGGGAGGAATTATGGTAATAACAGAGTATATGCATGAGGAGAAAACACAGATGCACCCACAGGTTCTTAAGAAAATTCTCACTGACTCCTTGGAGGATGCCTTTAGTAGAGAAGCAGTGCATGTTTTGTTTTGTTTTGTTTTCTCCAGTTGACAGTGGGTGAAGGGAAGGCCACATGATATTGGGTCACAAAATACTAGCTCTGAGTTCAGAGTGACCTGGCTCTAAATGACTATTACTTACAAAATAGGGACCTTGAGCAAGAGCTTAATCTCTCCAAATCTATACACTGTGGACTCTAATTGTACCTACCTCCAGGGGCTAATAGAGGATTAACGGGGTTGACTGGTGCATAGTAGAAACTCACTGAGTCCCTATCCCATCCACACCTAAGCTCTCTGTGGGGAAATAAGATTACAGATGACTGTCCTGTTTCTGTGTTGTGTAGTGTCTACTATTCAAGAGTAGAACTGCCGACAGTGGATGCTGATGCTGTGGTGGACCTGTGAGTACCAGGCATTATTAGCTCATGTAATCCACACAACTCCAGGAGACAGGGCGCTGGAACTCCATTTTACAGGTGAAGAAAGTATGGCACAGAGAGTTCAAATAGCTTGCCTGAGGTCACACAGATGCTAATACTAGACCCTGGACTCAAAACCAGGCACTCGGGGTTCAGAGTCCAGGGGCTCAGCCCCTCCACTGCGATGCCTCTTGGTGTGAGTGCAGGTCTCATGGGGTTAGTGTGAGGACCAGGAAACACGGTGCTTGTGAAACACTAGTGTCGAGCTGAGCACACACAGTGAAAGTCATGCTAGATGTTATACTGACACCATTAGAATGTCCCAAACCAAATGACTGGGAACCTAGTGACCTTTGAAAGAGAAGAAAGCTGTGTGCCTTCATTTTACTGTGGCTCCTCTTGGAGCCAGTGCCCCAAAGTAATCGTCATGACCACTATCTCAGGGAAAGAATTAGAACTGTGGTATTGCCCATCATTAAGCCAATGCTGGATTTGATGGCTCAAGGTGTCATGCTGCTTCTTACCCTGGACTTCCACTTAGATTTCATTAAATCAAAGTACACAGAGACAAATGTAGACTTTTGATTTTTTTATTGTGCGTATTATGAAAAACAATGTCCAGAATTCAAGTAGCAAAGGTGTCAGGTTCAGGGTGTGCAAAATGGAAGGCTTCAAGGCGGTTTTGGTTAAATGGCCCTAAGGGAGGTGACTAGAGCTGCATGCTGTCTGTACTCAGAAGGCATGGTTATTCAGGTTGCTGGAGGAGCTGATGGAGATCATGGAGAGAGTGATGCTAAAGGACGACCCGTGGCCCTGCCCCTGAGTAACGGCAGAACTCGTTGGTACAGTTATCCCAGTGGTTTGAAAAACCATGACAATCATGACATAACAGAAAATTACACATGTGAACTGAAATAACTCAAACCCAGAAAGAAACACCAGCTAGATCCTCAGGAGACGCTTTTAGGGACAATAAATGATGAAGACAAGTTGACCTCTTTGCGCCACCATCTGTTATGAACTCTTTCCATCGCCACAGACTTCTGTTCTCCTAAACAGACAGGAGGCGATGATGGCTAGGTAGACCACGCTCTTGAGGAGGAGGAGGAGGTAGGTGTAATAGGCAGAGGTGCTGGTGAGCTGCAGCTGCAGGGGGGCTGAGAGAAGATGTTTGATTAGATTCACTTGTCCTTTTGAAAGGATGGGACCTATTAATGGAGGGTGGTCACGGTTCTTTATTTCTGATGACCTACATTGTAGTGACCCCCCCACCCCCCGCAAAAACCCAAGAGTAAACATCTACCCCTCCCACCTCCACAGACAACAGCAAGACAACTCAGAATCCAATTTACAGGTCATGTCAATCAACACCCTCTGTGAAATTCACTTAGAACATTCCAAAATATGAAAGGTAAGGTGGTGTTTTTAATTAATGAGGTAATGGGAGAAAAGTATTTGTGATAAATAACTTTTATCATTTCTTCACCCCCCCCCACCATATTTCTAAGTAATAATAACAGCTAATATTCATTAACCACTAACCAAATGCCAAACCCGTGTTCTGAGAGCTTTGCATACAAAACTTTAATCTTATTTAAATTTTACAGTAAACTATGAGATTATTTTCATTCCCATTTTGCAAATAAACTAAGGACAGAGAGAAGTAATTTGCCTGACGTGCATTTAGTAATTTCAATCTCAGCACCATGACTTTAAAGAACACTCTTGGGTACTCTGTAATCCTGCATCTCCAAGTGCAATTAATACCCCAGATAGCAAAAATTTAAGCCTAGATATAAAGTTGAATTCTGATTCAGAAGCATCTGAGTCATTACACGTTTTGCATGCAGTGAGATTACTACACTGGGTACAATCCATGGAAATTTGGTAGTTTTCACAGAGGGGTGGGTAGGAGGTTTGAGTAAAAAGGCATATAAAACGGGAGAAAGTGGTTAATCCAAATTCTCTGAAACTTTAGGAGATCATGGCTCACACACCTGTCCTTCCTAAATTTCCCTCACGTGACTATGATGTATAGGATATTTGCACTTAATATCCTTTGAAGTTTGGCAAGAAATGTATGATGTCAAGAAATAAGTAAAGACAATGACGGTGAGCCAGACTGGGTATTCAGTGAACCATAAGGCCAAGTCTCTTCCTGTGGAAATTTCCCTTTTACGTGTTTTCTCTTGAAGAGTCAGAACTGCAGAATCATTAGCACTTGTTGTGGAAAGGGATGTGAGAGGAGATGTGCTCATAACTCCTTGCCATTAGTCAGGTAAGGTGTTCGCTGAGGTCCAGAGTCCCCTTGATAGTGGAAATGGAGGGAAGATCAGCAGGGCTGGAGCCAATGCTTCCGTGAAAGTCAATATCTTTGTACACATGAAGGGAGAAAGGGCCAGAAACTAGCACTGATTATGTGACAGCCAAATGAGACACCCTATGCTAGACATTCAGCATAGGTGACCTTATCTTGTCAATAACTGCATTAGATGTAGTTATTTCTGGTTGGCAGATGCAGAAATTATTATCCAGAAAATGTAAGTAATTTACCCATATTAATGAAACTAATCCTTAAAAGAACGGGTTCAAGTCCGGTCTGGGATACTGTGAAGCCCGTGCTCTTACTCAGCCCCCACCATGCATCCATCGTGTCTCAGGGCCTTGGTTTTGGGATTTCTTGCTCTAGGACTATCTTAGAGGAGGAAGACAGAACCATGCAAGTGTATAAACTCTCGATTCAGATGGCCAGGTTGAAACACCAGATCCAGCTGTGTGGCGTGCTGCAAGGGACTTAATTAATTTTAGCTCGTTGTCCTCATTTATAAACGGGGAAAAATATTGTAACACCTCGTAGCAGTATTATGAGAGTTAATAAAATGTAAGCAAAACCCAGCACAATGACTTCTGTGGAGGAAGCTCTCAGTACGTATCAGTTCATGTTATTAGCTATTAGCAAGAACCAAAGACAATGGTGCAGCGGTTAAGTTCGCACGTTCTCCTTCTTGGTGGCCCGGGGTTCGCCGGTTCGGATCCTGGGTGCAGACATGGCACCGCTTGGCAAGCCACGCTGTGGTAGGCATCCCACATATAAAGTAGAGGAAGGTGGGCATGGATGTTAGCTCAGGGCCAGTCTTCCTCAGAAAAAAGAGGAGGATTGGCAGTAGTTAGCTCAGGGCTAAACTTCCTCACAAAAAAAAAAAAAGAACCAAAGACTTAAAAGAAATCTGGAAGCATCTTGATATCATGTATTCCTCATTCATTAGAAACAAAAGCCACACAAATGAATGAAGTCCATTGTTGGAATAATTCTGAGCCTATCACTGCACACTCTAAATTACCATCATCTTATCCCCAAACCAACATTTACAGTGTTAAGATGCTCCCAGGGAATGAGGGATTGATTTAAAAAATCATTCAATCTACTCTGCAACTTCCAGCCATTCTGGTTTTTCTAGCTTAAACCAGGGAAGTTCAAAAGTGAAGTTTATCCAGAGAAAAAAAATGCTATAGCATGACATAAAGGCAAACATATACAAAAACTTACTGCTCTCATCTTTCAGACAAGCTTTTGTAGAATTAACAGCAGCGATCTCTAGAAGAAATGAGAGCAAGTATTAGTCAACTGTTCATGCCTATTATTTGGCAGTTGATACATATGTATATGTGTATGTATATCCATGTATATACATACACACATACACACATATATATATATAATCTACCAGCAGAGAGACAGGAGAGATGTCATTACAAATGTGAGCCCCACCATTCCAGGAATAATTGGTCTTGTCTACTATGAACCAGGGAAGTTCAAAAGGTAATTTGACTGGAATGGAAAAAACTGCCAAAGCAAGACATGAAGGCAAGGATATACGCAAACTCACCACTTCGCTCTGTTGGGGAAGCTGTTGTGGAATCAGCAACAGTGACAGCTAGGAGAAATGAGACCCAGCATTAGTCAATTGTCCAAGCCCATTATTTGATAGTGTCCGTATACGTATAGGTGTATATATATTTGATAGTGTGTGCATATGTATAGGAACATGTATATAAAGATATATATGTATATATATAATCTGCTGGCAGATAAGAAAAAGAACCACTGAAAATATGAGAATTATGAACCCCACAATTCCAGGAATAATCGGTCTTTTGTATGTTAAGCTTGAGAAGTACAAACGTTAATTTGATCAGGAGGGAAAAAGCCCTAACATAACAGAGAAACAAATATAGACAGTGACTTACTGCTCTTCTCTGTCGGATAAGCCGTTGTAGAACCAACAGCACTGGCCATTGAGGTGACAACTAGAAGAAATGGAAGCAAGTATTAGTCAATTCTTCATGTCCACTATTCAACAGTGTGCATACGTGTTTATGTGAGTATGTGTTTATACACACACACACATAATCCTCTGACAGAAAGAACATCACTAAAAACATCAGCCCTACGATTCCAGGAATAGTTCACCTAATTCTATGTAATTCAGCAGATCTAATTCAGGTATTATGTTTCTGACCTTCCTGAAGAATACATTGTTTATTCTTTATCACAACCGGATGGTAATAGCCAATGCTATCCCGTTTTCCTTCTGTATTCACAGCGCCTAGCACACTGCCTGCCAAAGGTAGGTGTTGGAGAAACACTTGTCGAATGGAAAAATAAACAGAAAACGTGGCTACTCTACAGTCTTCAGCACGCGCTGCTGACGTGAAGAGTTGCTACCAAAACCTACTCATCAAATCTTAGCATCCACAACAGAATCTCACGTTTGAAGGAGTCTGGTTTAGGCTAGTTTCTCATGAGAGCAAAGGAATCAGGCATATCTTTCTAGAGCATGCACATCCCAATATCCACAACTCATGCACATGATCTTCTGGAGTTGTGGGGTTTGTGGACGTGACAAGAATATGAATCAAAGCTAATGGCCATTGAGTGGTTATTACTGTGTCAGGCGCTATGTTAAATGCTTCACATGCGTTATCTCATTTAATGCTCCAGTCACACTGGAATGAGTTGTAGTTTGAAGGTCTCCTTGTTGCAAATGAGGAATAAGGTTGGGAGAATAACTAACTTGCTGAGAGTCATACCAGTGAGGGCGGAGCCAGCGTTCAAAGAATGGTTGTGGAGGATTCAGTGAGATGGAGCATGGAAAGGACCATGCAAAAATAATCCATAAAATAGAAAGTAATCTATAGAGATACAACATAATTCCACCATTGTGGACACAAAACTCATTTTCTTTTCCAGATGTGTTAAATATTCTTAGCAATTGACTGTTTCATTACAGGAGCTCAGCATTTCAGTGCAATTCTTTCCAAAGACAGAAAGCTAGGCCAAGTCATTTATACCTCTCTGAATATATACAACCTGAGGTGAGACTTGTCTACAACGTAAAAAAGAAAGAAGGCAAACATACAAAGATAGATACATGTTTTTAAAAAATAATTGGCTGTTGTTGGGGCCAGCCTGGTAGTGTAGTGGGTAATTTCGTGTACTCTGTTTCAGCAGCCCAGGTTTGCAGGTTTGGACCCTGCAGGCAGACGTACACCACTCATCAAGCTATGCTGTGGCAGTGACCCACATACAAAATAAAGGAAGAGTGGCACAGATGTTATCTCAGAGCTAATCTTCCTCATGCAGAAAGGGGAAGATTGGCAACAGACGTTAGCTCAGGGCCAATCTTCCTCACCTAAAAAAAATAATAATAATTGACTTTTGGATGGAGAAAAATAAAGTTGAATTCACCGTTTTCTTTTATCTTTTTATGTTCTTGTCTATATTGATATGGTTCTGGTATGCAATTTTATGCACTCAGTGAGATCTTTTTTTGGTTGCTCTAAAACCAGGTTTGAGATATAAAATTTTGAATAAATTCCAAGAATGAATATGTTAGCATAATCATGGTTAGATGTTAAAATATCTTCAAGAACTGGCTTTAGCATGTCTTAAAAGTCTCTTTTCCTTATAGTGAAGTATCCATTGAATAAATAAAATTCTCTTATTACCATGGATTGATTGTGGAAAAAGCAATAAAGTAACAATTTTCATAATAAAATCTGTGTACGTATCCTAAGTTCTCTTTCTCAATCAGAGTTGGTCAAAAGCTTGGACCAGCTTAGTGTTAGCTCTTGAAAATCACTTCCTTGATTTGTGCTTCCATCTTATCTTCTTAGCTTTTATCAAAAACAAAAAACAACAAACAAAAACTTCCAAGAAACAGCATTACAAATTGGCTGTAGAATGGCCTTAACAGATATGTCCTCATTAGCTTTGTTGCCCTGAGAAGCCCATGGAGACATTTGTTTCAGAAATTAGGTGCCAAGAAAAACACATGATGAACTGGAACTTCTCTGTGATGGTCATCACCATGGAACTTACCGTACTTCTCATTTTTCCCTGGTCACTAGAAAAATCACAACCTAATAGGACACTTCAGCTCAGTGGTTATGTTAAATTTGTGCTTCGTATATTCGTTTCCCCTCTGTTTTTTAGCTGTAGAAATAGTACCTTCAGCCTTCTTTTTAAATATTACTTTAGTTAGCTCTAGGAAAGGATATTAAAAAATGCAGTAAATACATAAATAATTACATCCATGTTGTGTTTTCACTGACATTGTTTCCATTGCTCTTCATCACGGCCCCAGGAAAAAGCTAAGGCAAGTGTTCAAACCTAACTTGGTCTCCGAGGAAACAAAGGATCCCAGAAGATAAAGACTGACATCAGAAATTCGGACTGGTGCCCAGTAAAGGTCTTTGAACATTTTGTTCTGTGCTTGTTCCCCACGGCTTCACAAGGGCTTGTTAACCACAGGGAAAAGTACAAACTGATTCCTTTTCCTGGGTCGTCTGGGGCCTTTGGTCTGTTGTGTTCACACAAAGCACTTTAAGTCCTGAGTCTAGAGAGTTACTGGACCACTGTGAGGACCAAGACACACTCAGCCCTCGGCCCACACTGTCTGAATCCGTGCAGCATCTGCATCAAAGGCACTCCTTGGGGACGTCATGCCTGAATCTCGAGTGACCCTGAGTGATTAGGAAAGGAATGTACTCTCCTACAATTGTGCATCCTCCTTGGGACAGTAAGTCATCCTAGTGTCCTCATCCACACATCCCTTCCGGGCCTCCACAGGCCAGTTCTGCAATAAATGTTTGATGAACTGTATTTACCAATGGCAAGAAGGACATTCATTAGATAGAACAACATTTAAGATTTATATTTGTTTGTTTTTCATTAATACTTGGCAGAAAAGGTGGGGTATTCCTTTGAAAAAAAGTGTTCTGGGAGATTATATTTATATACACGTACCTTTGTTCACTGATGGAAAAAGAATCTCCTGGTCAACCCCTCCTTTATTTTTCTCGTGTTGGACAATACATTTGTGTTCTTTATCCATTGACTTTCCAGTCACGGTCAGCCAGCTAAATTTCATGTATGTGTTGTCAGTCTTCATGGTATTTCCCTGCTGGGATTCCAGAATTGTATTGCCATCGTTTTCTTTCCAATATACCTTTATAACATCTGGGAAGAAATTCTCAAGAAGACAAAGAAATGTCCCAGCCTTGTGGAGGTTGATTTCAGCAACTGAAGGAAGAAAAATGGTGGGCTTGGGGGAAATGTCTGCAGGAAGGCGTCTGTCTGTGGGGGAAAATGGAATAGCAATTAGAAAGACTCGTTAGAGAAGCATAAACACTGTGTGGTATGGGACCACCTAGCACATAGTAAAAGGAAGAAAAGCTGCCATTTAATTAGTGCTCACCATGGCCTTTCTTCCATCATAGCTTGTAAGTATTTATTGTTCTTATTTTCAATGGGAAAAGAGGTTCCATAGGTTATGTAACTTGCCCAGAGTCACAGCTTTAAGTGGCAGAGCCTGGATCAAAACCTGGCCTTTGTTCTTTCTCCACATGTTAAGATGGGGTATGACTTTTACCTGACCCATTTCAAGGCACCTAACATTCACGAACACCTTTACTTTTTAAAATCTCTTTGGTTCTATCCCTGTGGAGTATGTTTTCAAGGTGAGTGGGTAGATGGCAAGGATTGGGGAGGAGACCAGGTAACTGATGATTTCTCTGACGTGAGGACGTTTAGTCCCTTCTAAAGTATTTCCTTTTCCCATCCTGTGAATTTTATAATTTATGGTGTCTGTAGCTAAATAACATATTCTCATATTCTGCAACTCTGTGCAACCTCACTCTTTATTCAATTGTTTCTGGAACATACCACATTTGTCTTATTTGCCATATAAATAAATGTCAGGAGGGAGTTTTTTATTTTTTCTAAACAATACACAGTCGCTTATTAATGGAAATCCATTTCCATGTGTAGTTGACAATCTGTAAAGTTCACCTTTCTGCTCAAATGTGGGTCCCACACCCAGTTCTGAGGTAATGGTGATCTCCTACTTGATGTCTAATTTTATATAATATCTCAATTTACACTGGACTACTCCCGGTTTTTGAGTAGCGCAGCATTAATGCTGCACCTCCAAGTTATTTACAATGCCTTGAATTTCAAAACAAAATGGCAATATTTCCAAAACTGATTTTAAAAACTTATTATTTTAAAAAATTCTATTATGTTAATCTTATCAAGTAAATGCACTTAGAATTGTGTTTCACTTTAGAAAATGCTCATCAAAAGCACACTTTATTTTGGAATTTTTTGCAAAGCCATGTCACTGGGATGCTGGAATGTTAGTTGATTATGCATTTATTGTTAGTCTAGTGATGGGAATTATAAATATTAATTTGATTTCCAATTGATCCACAAATGCTTTACTAGTATTCTCTTTGGGCTAGTTTGGAGTTAAATAATTCAATGGGCAATTTCTCAAGAAAAGAAGAATTAAATTTCTTATTTGAGAAGAAGAGAAAAAAAAAATCTTGAGAAGTTCTGCCTATATAGCACAGCTCCTGATACTTATACGAAATCAGTAAGCAAACAACGTTGAGTTTTTTACTCATGCTGTAAATACAATTAGGTCATAATGTGCTTATTTTAATTTTATACATCTTCCTTTTAGTGTAAATGGTACTTTATTGATTATGTTAGTAAGATACTATGTATTTCTCAAACCTTATACTTTCTTTTTAATTTAAAGAGCATGTTATACAAAATGAGATTAATTTTTCAATCATACATTATATTTACATAATTTTGGTCTCTAGTCAATATATTAAAGAATCTAATATTCATTTTAGGAACTTTTGTTTCTTCATAGGACTATTTCTGACTTGATTTACTAAAGAAATTGAAAATCAAGAGATGAATTGAAAAATTTCTTTTTCAACACACTATTCTTAGCGCCTCTTCCTCTTCCTTAGTTAGATTTCTTAAATTTCATTCTTTTCAGGATAAAATGAATCTTGAATTTCCATAACTTTCTTAATGTAATAGTTAACTGAGTGTTAAAAAATGTACTTGATTATATATGGTTATTGCCTATATTGTAAATATATTACATGTTTTTTCTTTAAATATTCTTTTTAATACTTATGAACAGTGTTTTTTATGGTCAAAATCATTTTCATGATGCGTAGAATGGAAACCAGGTAAAGCAATAAATAAACCTCTCTAATTCATTTATATATAATCATCTGCTTGATCAAATAATAGCCTTGAGTTCAATTGCGTGAGTTGTCTATATTTTATTAAGATACAACAGTATGAATTCTACAGAAATTTACCAAATATCAACATTTTTTATTGAAAGCATTATATTTCAAATCTACATAGTGATTTAAGTGTTTTCTGGTTTCTTCTTGTAATTTTTCTTTTATCAAGTAAATGATTATAGCTATTTCATATTTATATACATACTTAAAATTTATGACAAGTTTCTACTATATGTGATTTTACACCTTGACTATTTTCTGTATGAATTAAACTTTTTTTTCTGATAAACATGGGCATGAAGCCCAAATTTATTGGCTATAAATTTTTGTGCCAGTAAATGTTGGTGCTAGAGATAATATCAATTAAAACAAAGGATTAAGATTTAAAACACATAGAACAACAACAAAATTAAAACCAAACATATTTTAATCTTATTTTTCTTGCCAAGTGAGGGAAAAGTCTGCTAAAGGGAAACAAACACCTCCAAATTCCTACTCTGAGTGTGAGTGGACAGTAAGATGAGTTTCCACTGGAGCAGTTGGAAGGACAGCTGATCCTCTGGGGAGCTGCTGCTCTGTCAGTGTCGTTGGCTGCAAACACTCTCCACACTGGGTGCAGTTCTCCCTTCACGTTGGAATCGGGGGAACGTGTATCCAGCACCTGTTATGTGTTGGACAATGCGCCAAGTACTTTGCTCACGATATTTCATTCGATTTTCATACAAGCCCTGCTGGATACACACTGTCACCCCATTTTCTGAATTAGGAAACTGAGGCTAAGTCACCCAAGTGCACATAAGCAGTACGTAAGTGGTGGAGCCAGGTCAGCCTGACTCCAAAGCCCGGACTCTTTGACAACACCCTCTCACCATTAGAGAGAAAATGCGTCAACTCACAAACTCACCTGTAATCATAAACTTTGTCCACGGGCCAAACACTCTCATGATAATTATGTATGTCGTACTTGAACCCTCTATGTAAATCCACATGTACATGAAGACAAATCGTATTCCAACATTTGCACAGCGTTGTCTATGCTGTCCTAGACTACATACATTTGTTTTAAAATCACTTCTAAGATTTCTACATCTAATCCCAATCACATTCCTGTTTTTCCTAAACTTTCTTTATTATTGCAATTTAATTCCTTCTTGCTCTCCCTCTACTACCTTGAAAAATCTCGTTCTTCTGATACCTACCTGTGATGACAAGTTTTCTTCCATCACCGAGGACTTTTGTACAATAATTCCACAGCGATCAATCCATATCAAAAACTTTAGACTAATTAGCTTCTTTGAGTTCTTCAGATTCTAGGGAACTATGTGGCCTGAGACTCAAGAGACCAAGATTCTGGTCCTGGTGCATTTTGCTCACAAATTCTGTGGCTGAGAAATCAAGTAAATGAAAGGCTTTGGTGCTTTATTTGTTTGAAAACAGTGATTTTAGTGTAAATCAATCCAACATCCCTGCCAGAGCTCAAGGGAGACCAAGATGAAACAAGATCTGAAATGGATTTGATTAAAAATGCTATAGAAATAGAGATTATAATTGTTCATATTTTCCTATGGTCATTATTATCATTATCATTATTATTAACACTTTATTTATGACGATTTAGTGCCCCAACATGACATTTTAATCTCATGGGACCAAACCTTGCCCTTACTAATAGGGATTCAGTGTTTTGGGGTTGCAATTAGATCGTAGCAATTAAGCGGGAAGACTTGTTCCTTCATTTGCATTCCACTTTGCTCTAATAAGTCTGGATTTCTCAAAGCCATCACCAGAGGAAACGTGCCTTTCACTCACACAGTTAATAGGCAATCATCGTCTTGTCTTATCTGCTGCATTCCCAGTGTAAGAAAATCAAACGGAATGTTGGCTAAAGCCTAATAATATGCAGTCAGTCTATGGAACTGCTTCACAGTGTTGTCCAAAACAAATGGCTCTTTTCCCTAATCAACAGCACAACCTATTTGCATTCCAAGTTTCACCAGAAATTTCAGCCTCAAACTGACATCTTTCCAGCTTATGGAGAGAGTTCAGCTTGAAACTCCTGGCAGTGGGCCTTCAAAGCAGAATGACTAGAGAGATGGCAGGAGGGCTGTCCTCAAATCCTCCTATTGTCACATTAGACACTAAATGTTACCTGCCTGACTGCATCTGCTGAGGGTCACCATCTGTGGACGACGCTCAATGTTACAATGCCCGTATCATTGATGCAGTGGTGGGATAAAACGGGTTTGCTGAAAGACCATTTCTCCCATTTTATTAACTGGATGTTGAAGGCAATGTCCACTCTATTACTTCACTTTCCTCCTAAAGGACTCACGCATTGAAGTCCTTTTCTGATTTTACAGTGGGAAAAACATGTCCTATTTGAAAACTTGATGAGTTTCATCAGTTAATGAAATGTATGAATTCCACTTCAATTTTCTGCTACCTTTGAGCATAAAATTTGACCCTGTGCTTCTTGCTAGATAATCACAGGCCCTTTTTTTCTTCTGCTTTCCTTCATGGTTTTGATCTTCTATTTTTATTTCATGGTCTAACTGTACAAGCACACCTTGGAGATGTTATGGCCTCAGTCCCAGACCACTGCAATAAAGCAAATATTGCAATAAAGCAAGTCACACAATTCTTTTGCTTTCCCAGGGCATATAAAAAAGTTATGTTTACAATATGCTGTGGTTTATTAAATGTGCAATAGCATTACGTCTAAAAAAACAATATATACCTACATTAATTAAAAAATACTTTATTGCCAAATAATGCTAATCATCATCTGAGCTTTCTGCTGAAGACATAACCTTTTTGCTGGTGGAGGGTCTTGCCTCGATGTCGATGGTTGCTGACTGATCAGGGAGGTAGTTGCTAAAGGCTGGAGTGGCTTTGTCAATTCCTTAAAATAAGACAGCCACGAAGTTTGCTGCATTGATTGACTCTTCCTTTCACAAAAAATTTCTCTGTAGCATACGGTGCTGTTTGATAGCATTTTACCCACAGTAAAACTTCTTTCAAGATTGGAGTCAATCCTCGCAAACCCTGCCGCAGCTTCAGCAACTAAGTTCATGTCATATTCTAAATCCTCATCGTCATTTCAACAGTCTTTGCAGTATCTTCACCAGGAGTAGATTCCACCTGAAGAAATTACTTTCTCTGCTCATCCATAAAAAGCAACTCCATTGAAGTTTTATTATGAGATGGCAGCAATTCAGTCACATCTTCAGGCTCCGTTTCTAATTCTAGTTCTCTTGAAGTTTCCACCACATCTGCAGTTACTTCCTCCACTGAAGTCTTGAACCCCTCAAAGTCAACCATGAGGGTTGGAATCAACCTCTTCCAAACTCTCATTAATGTTGATATTTTGACCTCTGTCAATGAATCACAAATGTTCTTAACGACACTTAGAAGGGTGAATCCTTTCTAGAAGGTTTTCAATTTACATTGCCTAGATCCATTAGAGGAATTACTATCTATGGCAACTATAGTGTTATGAAATTTTAAATAAGATTTCAAAGCAAAAATTACTCCTTGATCCATGGTCTGCAGAACGGACGTTGTGTTAGCAGGCATGAAAACAACATGAATCTCCTACGTCAACATCAGAGCTCTTGGGTGACCAGGGGAATTGTCAATGAGCAGTAATGTGCTGAAAGGAATCTTTTTTCTGAGCTGTAGGTCTCAACAATGGGCTTACAATATTTAGTAAACCATGCTGTAAATAGATGTGCTGTCGTCGAGGCTTTGTTATTCCATTTATAGAGTACAAGAGAATAGATTTAGCATAGTTCTTAAGGGCCCCAGGATTTTCAGAATGGTAAAGCATTGGTTTCAATGTAAAGTCACCAGGTGCATTGGTCCCTATCAAGAGTCAGGCTGTCCTTTGAAACTTTGAAGCTAGGCAATGACTTCTCCTGTCTAGCTATGAAAATCCTAGATGGCATCATTTTCCTATATAAGGCTATTTCATCTACATTGAAAATCTTTTGTTTAGCGTAGCCACCTTCATGGATTATCTTAGCTAGATCTTCTGGAGAACTGGCTGTAGCTTCTGCATCTGCACTTGCTGCTTCCCCTTGCACTTTTATGTTATGGAGATGGCTTCTTTCCTTAAACTTCATGAACCAACCTCTGCTAGCTTCAGACTTTTCTCCTTCAGCTTTGTCAGCTCTCTCTTCTTTCATAGAATTGAAGAGAGTTAGGGCCTTGCTCTGGATTAGGCTTTGGCTTAAAGGAATGTTTGTGGCTGTTTGATCTTCTACCCAGACACTAAAACTTCCTCCATTTCAGCAATAAGATGTTTTGCTTTCTTATCTTTCATGTCCTCGCTGAAGTGGCACTTTTAACTTCCTTCAAGAACTTTTCCTTTGCAGTCACAACTTGGCTAATTTAGCACAAGAGGCCTGGCTTTCAGCCTGCTGTGGCTTTGGACATGTCTTCCTCACTAAGTTTACTCATTTCAAGCTCTTCATTTCAAGTGAGAGACATGCACCTCTTCCTTTCACTCGAACACTTAGAGACCATTGTAGGGTTATTAACTGGCCTGATTTCAACGTTGTTGTGTCTCAGGGAATGGGGAGGCCCAAGGAGAGGGAGAGAGATGGGGGAACAGTCGGCCCAGAGCAGTCGGAACACACACAAAATTTATTGATTAAGTTCACCGTCTTTTATGGGCCAGGTTCATGAAGCCCCAAAACAATTACAATAGTAACATCAAAGATCACTGATCACAGACCACCACAACACATATAATAATAATGAAAAAGTTTGAAATATTGTGAGAATTACCAAAATGGGACACAGAGACATGAAGTGATCAAATGCTGTTGGAAAAATGGCAGCTGTAGACTTGCTCAATGCAGAGTTACTGCAAACATTCAATTTGCAACGTCTGCGAAGTGCAATAAAGCAGAGAGCAATAAAATGAGGCATACCTGTACTTGTGTATTTGATTTTAGGTCATCTCAAATAGATTTTGGAAATAAGCATTTGTAATAAATGACAAATAGTTTGTGCATTATAGCTTGCTTCTTTTTCTGCCCCAGTGGCTGATAGATTAGTGAGGTCCAACTCAAATGTGACATGAGAGCTGGGAGAATATGTTTGCAAATCCTAGCTCTGTGATATAGACACAAAACAGGCAAAATTCAAACAGACAGAAAGTGCCAGAACATAAGGTGAGGCTTTCTTTCCCAAAACTGTCCTTCAGAAAACAGGAGTCATCTTATATTTCAGTCCTTCTGTAACTTCTCATATTAAAAGACGCTTTTGTAACACTCTGCTGTGATCAAAAAAACACTACGTGGACAAGATCTCCATCTGAAATGAACTCAATTAATGCTAGTTTTGGAGCTAGCACTGGTGAAAAAAATAATGAAATTGAACATGGATTTGGAAAATATTACTTGGGACTAAAGCTCCACAGTTTATGCTTTTGTGGCACATTTATACAATAAGTAACAGAATAAGTGAAAAAATACTTTCCTTTTATTTTATAAATGGGTAATTGTCACTTTTAATAAAACGTCCAGTGACACCTTTCTATGGAGGCCCCAAAATAGACACTCAGCCCTGAGATGGCCTAGAAAGTTGCTCTAAGGTAGATATTGCAGACGCATGTGAAGAGTTTGAACAAACTATTTAATGAAATATGAGGGCAAAAAGAGCAGTATTTCTCTACTGATATTTGTATTATACAATTTTTAACTCTAGCTACAATCCAGTTAAAAGTTAAATATTATATGTGGATATTTGACTTTTATGTATTATCGCTATAAATTAATACATTGAAGTTGCAAAATCTCCTCCTTTTTTACTACGAAATACTTCTACTGGAAAATGAGAGATCACCTTAAATTCAGGCTAATAATATTTGAGATAATACTTATTATATTCTAATCATTTTTACAAGCAAGTAGCAATTAGTCTTAGAAACAGAGTTTTTTCCAAATACCAACCATTTGTTCTAAAGTAACCTGTAGTCCAGATGGTAATTAGAACATTCATCTGTACTCCTGATTTCCTAAGAATTCTAATGTTGTTAATTTGTTTTCTGGAGAATTCACATTTTTATCACTGACCATGATGGTAATTTCCATATTTAATTTTGTTTAATGCAACATCCACTTGAGATTGTTGTTGCATAGATAGAATGAATGGATGGAAATACATCAAAATGTTAACAGTGCTATGTGTCACTATAAACTTTAATTTTTTTCTTTATTTTTTGTATTTTCCAATATTTTTCACGCTGGACCAGTATTACTTTTATAATTTTAGTAGAGTAATAATTAGTGAATCAAAATTTATTTGCTAAAGGTTGACTATACAGAAAGTGACAGACCCAGAATCAAAGTCCATATTTTTCCCTGCATCACTTTCTCCTAAAATACATTTTTCAGGACCTGCATGAATTATATCTGTGTCACCATTATTCAATTTCATTGCTACAATTTACATTGAATATGAAGTCAGCTGGAAAAAAACGACCAGAAAGTTGCTTTTCCATTTATGAATTCATTGTTCCTATGATCACAACGGCTAAGGAAACCAAAATATGTAATTTCTTTCGTTTTTTCAGTGCTTTATTGACCATGAAAACTCCTTGAAAACTTTTGTTTTGGTGGATCTAACAGGCTGGGCACATCCTTGTGAGACATTCTCCCTCAGTCAGGCCAAATTTCCTCTTTAAGGCTAATGAGGAGTGAACAAATTTACTGGACTGACAGAAAAAAACAAACCCAGCTTATGATATTCTTGAATACGGTCACCCAGGTAAATAATTTGAAACTTGACGTTAATTATCCTCTGACCAAATGACAGGTTTAGCAATTTTTGTTAATTTTTCCCAATGGTTATTATTGGAATCAAACAAAATATCTAAATTTTATTACAAATCTTTCAATATGGAGCTATCAAATGGACCTAATGTCTCCACCCCTTAGGGACTCACAGTTGGTACAACTTGTTAACTTCTTGTTAATGTCCCCCTTGTCATGTCAGGCAGAGAACTGCCTCCAAGGACCTGGATGGGGTTAGAACACTTATCCACTAGACTAGAAGCTTTTAGAATGTTGGGACTTATTCACTCTTTTATCCCCAGCATCTAGCATAGAAACTGTCTTCAGTGAGTGTTTGCTGAGCAAGTTAGGATGTAAAACCATGCAGACCCTTTTCATGGACTTTGGAACTGAAATGGCTTATTGAGCTTACAAATTCCCTTAAACTGGCCCATCTGTAGGCAATTTAACAAGACTTGTGATAGCATAAATTTTCACTGATCTCAGCCTACCTCTAGGAAGCTAGAGTAATAAGAAGTGAGATTTATCAACATTCTATAGTCATTTACTTTAAGAATTAATTTTTTGCATTGTTGTTGAGGATGAGATAACAACCCATAACATAGGTTTTGCATGTATTGGGAGAAAGGAGCACTCTATTTTATCTCAAAATATAGAGAAGTAGTAATTAATAAAAGTATATCTCATTTAAAAGACATTCGGCACGAAAAGCATCTTGAACCAGTAACTTTTACCAGTGTTTTACAGACAGGGCCCTGAAAATATCTTAACTTCTAGCCTGAGTCTATCCTTTTGTGTGTGTGTATTCTAAAAGCAGAATTTCAATGTGCTTATTAGCAGAGAAGTGAACAAACTATTTACAAAGTAGTTTTGTTTTCATATACAGTGACCAGTAGCTACAAAATTGCTTTTCATATGCTAAGGACAAGTATGTGGCAGTCAGATAATGGTGATCCTAAATTATTTTTTCTAAAAGGCATCTATCACTTTTTCATTACTAGAGTAAAAATAGAAAAAAGCTACTTACCAGAGGGAGTTACTATGAGCTTGGTCCCTTCTCCAAATTTCTTGATCCAATATGTTCCCTCACACTGATTACAGCTTCTACGAAAACTCAGCCTTCTTGTAAGCTTCATGATATAGCTATCAGTGAAAAGACTGTGGACTGGCAATTTTATCTTCTGGGTTCCTTTTGAAGTCTTTGAATATAAATTTTGTGGTATCTGCCATTTTATAAGTTTTCCTCAGATAAATTGACCCAAATGTCTGTTTTCAACACCAAGGCACTAAGTGAAAAGCATTCTTGGAAAAAGGACAGAATAAGAGCAAATAAAGAAGAGTTCAGCCCCAATATATCAACCAACTACTTTTATAAATTACTAGTAAAATCATGCAGAGAATAAGATATTTTTTTTAAAATTTCCAGGTGTTCAATTGTGTTGAATCTTCTCAGAGATTGCATCAAAGGAACGGCCCTTTTGTTCTCACAAACACCAGGGCTGCTTTGTTAGCAATTTGGGAATGTATTTCAGAAAGGAAGAAATTCTTCAGTAACTGAAATGGAAATATGCCAATATAAATAGACTTGAGAAATGTGAACAAAGTTCTCCAATTTTAATAAAGCCACTTTTACCATTTGGCAATATGATTCTTTACCTGGCAATGCTAAATGAGAAAATGATTTCTGTGATGACATTAATTTTCCTGGAATAAAAAAAGAAATTTATAGAATTCTGTCTTCTATGAAATAAGAGATTGCTTCTTTAAACTAAAATTTGAAATCATATCAAGCGTGTTTTCTGACCACAATGGCCTGGAACTAGAAATCAGCTACAATAAGAAAGCTGGAAAAGTCACAAATATGTGGAAACTAAACAACATGTTACTGAATAGCTATTGAATCAACGAATAAATCAAAGGAGAAATAAAAAACACTAAAGACAAACTATAATGAAACACAAAATACCAAAATCTATGGGATGAAGCAAAAGCAATACTAAGAGAAAGTTTATAGCAATACAGGCCTACCTCAAGAAACGGGAAAAATCTCAAATAAATAATCTAACAATACACCTAAAGGAACTAGAAAAAGAAGAACAAACGAAGTCCAAAATCAGTAGAAGGAAGGAAATAATGAAAATCAGGATGGAAAGTAGAGACTAAAAAGACAATAGAAAGGATCAATGAAACTAAGAACTGGTTCTTTGAAAAGATAAACAAAATTGACAAACCTTTACTAGACTCAGTAAGAAAAAAAGAAAGATGGCTCAAATACATAAAATCAGAGATGAAAAAGGAGAAATTACAACAGATACTGGAGTAATAAAAAGGATTATAAGAGAATATTATAAAAAACCATATGCCAACAAACTGGATAACCTAGAAGAAGTGGATAAACTCTTAGACTCACACAACTTTCCAAAACTGATTCAAAAACAAACAGAGAATCTGAATAGACCAATCACTTGCATGGAGATTAAAACTGTAATAAAAAACCTGTGAAAATACAAAAGTCCAAGACCAGATGACTTCTTGGGTGAATTCTACCAAACATTCAAAGAAGACTTAATACCCATCCTTCTCAAACTTTTCCTTAAGATTGAAGAGAAGTAGATACTTCCTAAGGCATTTTACGAGCTCAACATTACCCTGATACCAAAACCAGACAACAACACACAAAAAGGAAAATCACAGGCCAATATAGCTGATGAACACAGATGCAAAAATTCTCAACAAAATATTGCCAAATTGGATACAAGAATACATTAAAAGGATTGCACACTGTGAGCAGGTGGGATTTCTTCCAGGGATGCAAGGATGGTTCAACATTTGCAAATCAATCAACATGATACACCACATTAACAAAATGAAGAATTAAAATTACATGATCATATCCGTAGATGCAGAGAAAGCATTTGACAAGATTCAGCATCCATTTATGATGAAACCTCTCAATAAAATGAGTGTAGTAGGAAAATACGTCAACACAATAAAGACCGCATAAGACAGACCCACAGGTAACATCATACACCATGGTGAAAAACTGAAAGCCATCCCCGAAGAACATGAACAAGAGAAGGAAGCCCACTTTTGCCACTCTTATTCTACATAGTATTGGAAATCCTAGCGGGAGCAATTAGTCAAGAAAAGGAAATAAATGGTATCCAAATAGGAAAGGAAGAAGTAAAACTGTCACTATTTGTGGATGACATGATTTTGTATTGAAAGAAACTGAAAGAATACACCAAAAAACTATTAGAAATAATAAATGCAAACAGTAAAGCTGTAGAGTACAAAATCAACATACAAAAGTCAGTTGTGTTTTTATACACTAAAAATGAACTAGTAGAAAGAGAAATCCAGAATACAGTTTAATTGGGGCCAGCCTGGTGGCCTAGTGCTTAAGTTTGGTGTGCTGCACTTCGGTGGCCCAGGTTGAGTGCCTGGCACAGACCTACACTACTCATCAGTGGCCATGCTGTGGCAGCGACCCACGTCCAAAAAAATAGAGGAAGATTGGCAACAGATGTTAGCTCAGGGTGAACCTTCCTCAGAAAAAAAAATAATACGATTTAATTTACAACCACAACAAAAGAATAAAATACCTAGGAATAAACTTAACCAAGGAGGTGAAAGGTCTGCATGCTAAAAACCGTAAGACATTGTTGAAAAAAATCAAAGAAGGCACAAAGAAATGGAAAGATATTCTGCAATCATGCATTGGAAGAATTAAGACAATTAAAATGTTCATACTACCTAAAGCAACGCACAGGTTTGATGCTCTCCCTACCAAAATCCCAATGACATTTTTCATGGAAATGGAAGAAAGAATCCTAAAATTTAAATGAAACAACAAAGACCCTGAAGAGGCAAAGCAATCCTGAGAAAAAAGAACAAAGCTGGAGGTATCACAATCCCTGATTTCAAAATATACTACAAAGCTATGATAACCAAAATAGCACGGTACTGGCTGAAAAACAGACTCACAGATCAATGGAACAGAATCCAGAGCAGAGGAATAAAACCACACATCTCTGGACAGCTAATCTTTGACAAAGGAGACAAGAACAAACAATGGAGAAAGGAATGTCTCTTCAATAAATGGTGTTGAGAAAACCGTGGACAGCCACATGCAAAGGAACGAAAGTAGGCCATTATCTTGTACCATAGACAAAAATTAACTCAAAATGAATTAAAGACTCAAATGTAAGTCCCCAAACCATAAAACTCCTAGAAGAAAACACAGGCAGTGCACCCTTATCAACAGTCTTAGCAGTATCTTTTAGAATACCACATCTTCTAGAAATGTGGTGACTTTTAATTAAACCTGGTCCATGAGTAAGTTACAGAGACTTCTGACATGAAAGATGGCCACGGCTGTCTTAAAGCAAAAAAATATATGTATTATCTGACATGTATGAGAGATAAAATTACACACTATCTGTGAGCCACTAGCTTTGACAGTCTGACATAATGTTGATTTCACCCATTGCTTAGATGATATCAGATATATTTCTATACAATACAATGGATCATTGGAAAGTCTGACTTTGTGTGTTTATAAAAGTTCAGGGCAAGATTTGAGAGAGACCAGGTGTCATTTAGCTCCAAATCTCCTTCCCACTTCTTTCTCCCTGCTCCAAGACCACAAGTGGGGGCTCTGTGTTTTCTGGTGGTGAAAGGGAAAGAAATGCATAAAGATGGGGTCTGCTATGAATTAGGCACCATCCACACATTTATCTCTGTTCAGCTTTACCTATACAATGGTTACTACTATTAAAAGGCAGAGAAGGAAACAGAGTAGAGGAGTTCAAAGCGAGCCGGGATTTGAGTTCAAGTTCATGGGATTCCAAACCTTGTTCTTTCAACTACTTCACACGTCTTGGGTGTGGTAAAGATGTGCGTGGCAGGGGCATAGTTTCTAGCTCTCTTCCAGATCTGTGTAATATAGAGGATCTCTATCTCAAATGGTCAAGTACAAGATACTGGACGTTGCTTTCTGAGAATCACAGGAAATGTAAAGTTAAATGAAAATAGGTGAAATGGTCAATTTGCATATTCTAAAAAGCAATGAGCAGTCAGTGCAAGTACCTAGCAAAAGAATCTGTGAGGACTGGTCTAGTTTAATCCAAATATCCAGCTAACTCTCACAATTTAGCTTCTTTCCACTTGTCCTTGAGTTACACCAGGAGATTAAAGTGTCCATGAAAACATTTGGGGCGTGCAGTTCAGAATTATAATTATAATTTTGATTAAGTGGTTATTTCTGTCGTGGGCTTGCTGATTGCTCTGCACGTGTAAGCTGGAAAATAAAGAATTTCTAAAATTTCATTAAGTTGGAGAGAGGAGTGGAAGTTCTCTGTGTGGGATCCGAGAGTTTTGGTTGGGGGCTCTGTCTTGACAGCCAATTCTAGACTCAGGTGGAGCCCCATGGGGTTTGGTCTGGTTCGTGGTTCACTTTCTGGCAGATGAAACCACAGTTCCCAGGGTCTCCTGTCTCCTCCTCTCAGATCTCATATCACGGGAAATGCCTTAAAATAGTTGGATTTACTCATCTCTTTCTCTTTGTACCAGAGGAAGGAAAAGATGTGGAAGGTCAAGGAAACACCATCAGCTTGACAAACATTCTTGCCACTGTGTTGGATGACGCAACACACCTTTGCCCTTTACTGAGTTAGGGAAGTTTCAGGAGAAAGGTAACACAAATTGTGGGGAGTGGTGTGAGGAAGAAGGACTGGAATGCACAATTTTGTTTGGGTCACTTGTTAGACATCCAAGAAAACAGATAGCTGACATCCAAAACATTTAGCTGTAATGTGATGGTATAGATTCTGTCGTTATTACCGTTATTGGTATTTTCAAGGTGTGCCTGGCAAGATCTTGGACATGAAAAAGTCCTGAGTCACTCTAGCAAAGCAGAAAGCAGGTCAGGGCTCCCAAACTTGGAACCAAGTGTGTGACCATCCAGTTAGAATTGATTCCAAGCATCAGAGTGAAGAGCAGGAATTGGGGCCTTAGTTTGCCAGGTCTGTCTGTAACTGGCAAGGAATTTACAAATATATTTCCGAAGAAACCGATCTCCACCTCCCACATGCCCATATGTTTGATGTATATGCCAGGGAAACTATTTCAGTTATTGGGGTTTTCAGAATGGACAGGAAGCCACAGAAATGAAGGGGAGTAAATAGCTGTGGGAAAACAACAGGGAGGTAGATGGAGCTGGGGGTCTCTCCCCTGCTCACCTTTATCCCTTCTCAACGGTGTGGCAGTCACATGCTTTGTCTACATATCAGACCTGATTGATGTTCTGAGGATAACATTATGAAGACAAGACACAGTTGTCAAAGCTTCCTTTTGAGAGAAATGCAGTTTTGCTGAAAGAAGTTCAACACTGACCACAGAGAGGCAGGAAACGGCTCTGGACTGAGAACCTGAAATGCAGGTGTAGCCCCACCTCTGTGGTTAACTAGCTTCGGACTCACCATCTCTAGGCCCCAGCTTCCTCATTCGAAGTGGGGGCATTGGGCTAAATATGCTCTAAGAGCCCTTCCTGTCCCAACAGCGTGTGATCCTATGACTAAGAGCGTTGAAGAGTCTATTGTGGTGCTCAAGTGTGAAAGGAGTTGAGGGTTAGTAACAGACAAGGTTTTCTTACAGGTCCCTTCTGACTCAGTGACCTTGTGAGATCTCAGCAGGCACAGCAGCAGCTGGCTTCATCGGACTTGGCAACATTATTGATGATCAGGTAAAAGATTCCATTATCTGTCTTATCTGTCTCCCATTGGGAATTAGGCTTGTCTTGCTTTCAATTCTTGGTTAAGCCATAAAGGACTAATTTCAGGGGCTCCCCTTCTTTTTTGTTGGTACCAATGTTCAATGGCATTCTCTAGGGGAACCCCAGACAGCTTGCAACTTAGGTGCCCTGATTTATCTGGTCTCAGGGTAGAGGAGAGTTGATCCTGAGATATTCTAATTTCAGTGTCTCCTCTGAAAAGCAAGGGAAAGAAGTCAGGCACTTGAAGAGCTTGTCTCTGGATACAAAACCAATGAACAGATAAGAAAGGAGAAAAGTCAACTTACAAACTCAAGCCAAAGACACAAGAAAAATCCATGAGGTTGGCATTGCCAGTGACTGGTCAGAATGGACACTCTGTGAATCAGGCGTGAATCAGGACCAAGGATGCAGTGGCGGCCCTTGTTCTGTGGAGTCAGGGATGGGGAAGGGAGGTTTCCTCTACAACCAATGAGTCCTTCTCAGTAAGATCTGTGGCAGCTATTTTATCACTTTCCTGGTATTAAGAAACTCTCAGATCCTGGGGCTGGCCCCGTGGCCGAGGGCTTAAGTTCGCGCACTCCGCTGCAGGCAGCCCAGTGTTTCGTTGGTTCAAATCCTGGGCACGGAGATGGCACTGCTCATCAAACCATGCTGAGGCAGCGTCCCACATGCCGCAACCAGAAGGACCCACAATGAAGAATATACAACTATGTACCGGGCGGCTTTGGGGAGAATAAGGAAAAAAATAAAATTAAAAAAAAAAAAATAAGAAACTCTCAGATCCTGGGAGACCCCATCAAAACATCTGTTATAATAATTCAATGTTAACTTCTCCTTGGGAGAAATTCCCTCCTACTTTTCCTTCAACTATTGCTTCAAGTACTCCTATTCTTGAGCTTTTTTTCACTTCCTGAGTTATGGATTTTTTACTCTATTTTTTGAGAGTGTGGGAGCTTTGTATGGCTGTCATGAGAACTGGAAGGAAAGTATCATTGTTGTGTATAGTAACAAATGAGATAATAATCCCACAACCTTAGGCAGAAGTATATACATTTTATAGATCAGTAGTTTTCAGAAAGTTCACAAAGTTTGGTAAATATTAACAACCACTGTAGTTATTGCTTTAGATACTACAGATTGTTATCCACCACTCTTTTCCTTTTCACAATTCTTAGTTTGTCAGAATTAAAGCTACGCTTTACTTTTGCTTGGAGGACAATGTAAGATGTGATTTTTAAAGACGTCCTGAGTTCTTTTTCTAGCTGAGCTGGCTCGGTGAGGTGGCTGAGTTACAACAGGAAAGGACACTGTGATTCATTGAACACTATGCTCAAACTCACACATGAAACCTCAGCAACCCTATGAGGTCAACACCATGGCCAGTTAAAACTAGGAAAACAGAATGAAAACCGTCTAGTAACTTTCCTAAATCACGCTACCACTGAGTGGCTGAGCAGGAATTTGAACCCCAGGTACATGTTACTCAAAAGGCCTCATATCTTCCTCCCTCCCTTCCTTCCTTGGACAATCCTCCACCTTCCCTCCCTCCCTCCCCTCCTTGAAAGTGAACAAATCATTCTCAGCACTGGATTATGGCCTCCTTCCCAGTAGGCTTCCCATAGATGGCGAAGCAGGGACAATTTGGGACACCTACAAAAGCCAGCCCAGGCCCCGGGGAGGTGAGGCTAGACAATAAAGTGACTGAACTGAAAGAAGCACCACAGACTGAGTCCATGGGCCCTGAGGTCAGACCTTGCTCAGGATGCATGTGCAGGAGAAAAGCCCTCTGTGACAGTAGGCAGGTCCCTCTGGGAGCGAGAAAGGGGGAGGTGTGTGTGTTTGCACAGGTGTGACGACGTGGGAGGGTTTTTGTTCAACGACAGAGGCGCACGTCCCTGCCGTGTGTCCCAGCAGGCGCAGAAATACAGCCCCGCGTCCGCCTCCTCGACGTGGTGGATCCTGAGGCTCGCCGACGGATCGCCCTGCCGTCTCCTGGCTTCGTATCTGTCCTCACTGACGCCTCGTTCGTGGACGACATTTTCATTTGAGGAAATGTACAGGATTCCGCAATTTTTGTTGTGTTCTGTAACACAACAAAACAAAAATCAGACACTGAAATGTCTCATGGACATTATTTAATATGCTGTATGCACTAGTATTGGAGTATGTTTGTGTTTTTTAAAATTAATTGAGATGTTACCAGGCAGAGTGACTCAGAAAATTCAAATTTCATTCATAATCTGGGTGCCTCCAAAGAAGGGACTAGATCGTGAATGCTGGCGGATATATGAGACAGAGAACCTGTGGGAATCAGTTTCTACTCACCTGGACCTTGGGACTGTCTCCCGAGCATTATGCCACATGCAGGAATGTTTTCAAAGGAATGCAAGGTTTAATGTGTTAAGGATAAGCTTTAAAATTAATATAGCATCTAATATGCATTAAGAACTTGCTATTTGTCAAGGCATTATTCTAAATGTTTTCTTATTTTATTTAATCCTTCATACAGTCCTGTGAGGTAGCTGTTATGATAATCTCCATTTGATAAATGAGGACAGTGACAAAGAAAAGTCACTCATTCAAAGACACACAGCTGGTAAATAGGAGAACACAGAGAAGTCACAAGCGTTCATTAAAGAAAATCTGAGTAAAATGAGGTATAAAAAATGACAATAGAAGGCATTCATCATTTACTTTTACTTTGAATTTTTTTCTATATATTTAGAGATAGAAGTAGGATTGCCTAGTTATGTATATGTGTGTATATATATGTATAGATACATTTTTTGGTGGGGTTTGCATATTTGGCTTTATATTTCCTTCCTTTGGTTAAGTTATTATTATGAGCAATATTGCAGGTTTTTAAATAATCTATGTGAATATTATTTTTAATGACCAAAGATAATTAAACACCCCCCCGTATACCACTCAACCCTATCTGACACTGGCTGAGTTATTTAAGCTTCTTGTGCCTCAGTTTCCACATGTGTACCTTGCCTACATACATATTTTTTAGAGGTATTTTGAGGCTTACATTATCACATTATATGAGTGTAATGCACAAAACACTCAGATATTAATACTTGGTACATCATGGGTCTTCAATGATGTTATGAAGTCTTTTTATTACTGTTATTACCAAACAAGACAAAATTGTTTTGTTAAATATTTTTTACAGTAAAACCGTAGTAGCTCATATAGAAAAAAAATGTAAAGTTCATCGAAGCACATAGAAGAAATAAAAGCATGTATTCTTTTGGGAATAACCATTCTTAAAATTTTGGAGAATTTCCTTCCCCCTTTTTTAAATTCTTCTATCAATTTAGACATTTATATTCTTAAGAGGTTATTCTATATTTGTAAATTTTTCTTTATATTACATTGTGAATATTTTTAAATTTTAGCAGCAAATCCACAGAACACTGTTTTCAATGGCTGCATTGTATTCTACCCTTTGAATAGAGTATAAATCAGGTGTCTCTTTCCCTGTTAGTCACCCTTTACTCTGACACGTAAAAAGCTGCCAGAGAGTTTTCCTCTGAGCACAGGTGTCTCACTGTGGACACCACATTGCTGCTCTGTGAGGCTCTTCTGAGTCCTGGATGCGACAACCATGTAGGGAAGGTAGGAGACGTCTGCTGACAAGCTTGTCTGTGCACGCAGAGGTGTGTTGACAAGCTTGTCTGTGCACTCCTGTCTGAAAAGGGCTTACGTTCACAGATTGTGTTTCTCTCAGGTCTTGCTCTCCACCTTAGCTTCTACTAAAAGTTTAGGTAACTAGTGAGTTCCTTTATGGGTTCAAGAAACCAACTGCGGCCCACACGGAGGGAACGCGATGGTCAGGAATTACAGGGAGAGAAGCCATCAAAGGAGCTTGCGAGTGTCAGAGGCGGGAAGAGAAAGGCTGACAGACTGACTCTATGTCCCCCTTTCCTGTGACTCTCCTTCCTTTCTTCCAACGGCTTCCTTGAATTGAGAAGTAGAATCAGGGTCCTTAGAGGAGGGGATGATGGGGATGAGTATGTTGCCACGACCTTGGAAACTATTGAACAAATAAAGGAATACGTATGGCACAGATGCAAGATGATATTCATATTCCCCCATGGGGCGCTCAGGATGAGTTGTATGAGAAGGGTGCATGGATTAAAGGGTAGTCTTCATTTATCTCAGAATTATTTCAGAGGTGGCATCATAAATAATAGAATGTTCATTATTTTATATTTTGGAAAAAATTGTCAATCTATTGGCATTTCACGTATTCTGTACAAACTCCTAATTTGAGGGAATTACTCAAATCCTGGTCACATGATTCCTACAAAATGACAAATTGTGTCAGTGAATGTTCCACAACGGTTAGGTTTCTTCTCTCCGTGGGGGTAGGAACAATGCATAGCACAGCTTTTAATCCCCGATGATCAAAAGGACAGACTCTGGAGCTAGATTACCTGGGTCCAACCCTTCTCTGCCACATGCCAGTTGTGTGACTTGGACAAGTTCTTGAGACTCACAGTATGTCACTCACCTCACAGGTCACTTGGGCTTCATGATAACAGAAGTGACCTCAGAGGTTACCGTGAGGGTTAAAGGAGCTCATATGTGCAAAGAGTGGGGAACACTAACGGAGAACCTGCTCACACGCAAAATTATTAGCTGTTCTTCTCTTGGCCCCCTCTCTCTCTTCTTTCACAGGCAGAACCAACAGTTATTCACAATATGGTGGGCTCATCTAATGGTCCCATTGACTCGGAGCTGTGCTCTGATGGCATCATGCTGGCACAATCTGAATATGAACTGAGGAACCATCTTCCTCCTCCTCCAGAGAAAAGACCCTTGCTCCATCCCAAATTTACCTCAAGTATTCTGTTTTTCATAGCATTATGATCTTTAAATTTTCAGGGTAGCGTCATGGTCCAGTTAAAAAAGCCTGGACTCCTTGTCTTTGACAAAACACTTTAATACTCTAAACCTTAATTTCTTTATAAAGAAATGGGTAAAATGGGCAGACAATAGTTATATTGCAGGGGTGTTGTGATAACTGTATATGGTAATGTATATGTACTCTATCTAGGAGTCCTGTGTTCACAATGATTCCCTCCCTCAGCCTGAGTCATTCACAGTTAGTGGAAGTTTCTGGATGGTGATGTGATAAATGGGGCCTGTGTCCACTCGTTCCCAGACAAGACTTTAATTCCTTAGGGAGTAGTGTTAAACGAAGCTTTGGGAACATAATGGTCAGGAGTGCTTCTTGCTCAAGTTGGGGCCTAATGTGAGAGCATAACCCATGTTGGCCTCCGGGAAAGCTCAGGAAGTACAGCAGAGGAGGCGAGCCTGAGGCTGGGAGCCCAGGAGGGAGGTAGTCGAGTTTGCGTCTGTGGGAAGGCTGTGGTGGGGCAGAGACCTAGGGGAGGCTGTTGTTGGGTGTGTTGGCACCTCCAGTACTGGGGGTCCCACCAGCTGAGTAGTCAATGCCCACATTTTTTTCCATGAAGTTTAGGTAAGGGTTGAAGTATATGTTTTAAAACTTTTTCTTGTCTCAAAATTGGCATTTCTTTCACCTAAGTGAACTGGAGCTGGGGATTTTACTGAGACGTTAGATGTGGGATGTGCTATAATTTGGTTTGGTTTCTGCTGGTGCCAGAGCATAACTGTATTTTCAGTGTCTGCTGTGGGCACCGTACAAGACATGTGAGCTCTCTCTCTGTTGCCCTGGAGGTTGGCATTTCGGGTTCCTCCACCTTTACCTGTCCTTGTCCAACTGCCAACAAAAAAGGGAAATTCCCATGAACACCTGACATAGAAAAAGAAAACAATAAAGGATCTCTTTCATCTCTCATCTATGTTGGAGTAATGGAGGAACAACTCAGAAGTCCACAGGGAGAAAATCATGAATGTTCCCATGACTGTCCTCCTGTCTGCCAGACTGTGTCATCAGGGAGAAGAGAAGCAAGTGAGGACCCTGGTCCTTGGAGAGTCCAGGCCAGTGGGAGGAGGATGCGGTGTGACTTGGTGTAAGAGGAGGAAGTGGTGGGTCAGGTGGTCCTAGGGGACCCTTCAGTACCCGCTGCAGAGCTGAGCAGATTAGGTGGCTCTGGTGACCCACTGGTGCTCAACTGATGGGGGAGTAGGGTTCACAGTCTGGATGGGAATGCGTCTGTGGGGTGGGGGCAGTTCTGGAGTTGACCTAATTCTGTTTGCAACTTTCCTGTTCCTTCCTTAATTTTCACATTATAGAAAGTTTGCTCCAGAGATGTGAAGATATGGATCTGTGTCATAAAATTAAAATTAGCCCCTCTGTTGATTTCCTTGGATTCATCACTCAGGAATATGAAATATGGACAGTAATTTACAATAGAAGTAAAAGGCAAACTGAAGTTTCAAATTGACATTATTCGTACATTTTAAAAGTCATAGACATTTTGATTTGAAATACAATGGAGCACTTGTTTCATAATTAATTGGGTTGTCACCATGAATATTATAACTCAGAGAAATCAAATTTCACTCACAATCTTGGTGCCCTTCAAGAGGAGACGGGATTGAAATTGCCAGAAGGAATATCAGACCATCTGAGGGAATGAGGTTGGCTTCCACTGGACTTGGACTTTGGAACTATCTCATGAGCACGATGCACAGAGACGGGTATTTTTAATTAATGTTCACTTTTACGTGTAATAATAAACCTTTAAAATTAGTATTAAGTCTAATATGTATTGAGGATGAGCTGGCACTGTTCTAAGTGTTTTCCTGCCTTATTTCACTTCACTTCTCAATCTTGAGAGTCAGTGGTACTATTATCTCCCTTCGGCAGATGAGAACATGTGGCAAAGGTGGCTGATCCCAAGCCACAAAGCTGGTAGATGTGGGAGCCTGGATAAGCAACAGACGCTCATTGATGAAAATCTGAGTAAAGGTGTTATGAAGTGATGCAAATGAAAACCATCATCATTTACTTTTAAGTACTTTCTCTGCACATTTATACATAGTAGGATGTTTGCTTGGATCATTACACACTTTTTTTAAAAATTTTAAATGGGCTTAACACATACAATTTCATATTCTGTTCTCTTAGTTAACTTTATATTTTGAAAATATATCAGGTCCTTAAAAAGTTTATGTGAATATCATTATTAATGACCTTTGAAGATAACCACCCTTCTGTACTACTTACCTACCCCTTCTGATGTTGGCTGAGTTATTTAATCTCTGTGTCTCAGTTTGTACATCTACCACTGCTTAAATAAATATCTTTCAGAGAGTTAAGAAAGTTACATGATCCTACTAAAAATGGTAATGAACATAAAATAGAAGTAATAGTGCCTGACACATAATAAGCCCTTTTTGATGTTTTCAGGTTATATTTTTATTATTACTGAAAAACAAGGGAAAATTACCTTGCTAAATAATATTTTATTTGTAAAAATTTTTGTAGTCACTTTTTTGAAAATGTATAAAATCATTAAAAATATAAACAGGAAAATAAACTATCCACCCTATCAGGAAAAAAATCTATCTTAAAACTCAAATATTCCCTTTCATTTTGTTTCTTCCATCAACATAGACATTTATGTATTTGAGATTTAACGTATATTCATTCTTACTTTATGTGACCTTTTGATATTTGAATGTAAACATTTTCACTTTTAATTATAAATCATCAAAAAGGCCATTTTAATGGCCTCATAATATTTTGTCATTTGAGTGCAACATAAACTATTGCTTCTTTCCCTGGTTCATCATTGAATTTGTCACAATTTTTTTTAGGGATCATATGGAAAAGCTGACATCACTTTTGTCTCCTGAGGTCTGTTCCTCTGAAGACGCTGCATCAAGAGGTCCACTGCTCTTTCATGCAATACACAAGAAAATCCAGGCAAAGAATTCAGCAAAGATATTTTGAGAAGCTTAATCCACGCTTTCCATGCACTCCTTCTGGAAAGGGCTCCTCTTCTCACATTTGGTGTGTTCCACTCAGGTTCTGGTCTCTAACTTGCTTGCATAAAAATTGTAGGGAGATGGGAAGGTTGCGTTTTGGCTCGAGAAGGTGATGGTCCCCCAACTAAGGAACCATCATGGTCATAAAGGGTGTAAGTCAGGACGTAAATCAAAGAAACATGAGCCACCAAAGATGGGAGAAGAAGGGTGGAAGGATCATGTGTCTAATTCCATCTCTTGTGTCAGCATGACCTGTAAATGCCTGCTTTTTCCTTCCAGTACATCTCACATTTGAACAATAGACTATGGATCCTTGAAATAAGGGCTGGAGAGAATGAATATTTTGATGTTTGTAGAATTTTTAATTAAGGTGTACAGTATCAAGGAGATATCAGTACTCTTACCAGAAGCCCACTGCAGATAGCACTGTTAGAAATAGAAAATAAGGATCTTTTTGTTATTTTATATTGAAAAGTAGATTGACAACTTATTGGCATTTTATTTATTCTGTGAAGACACCTAATCATTCAAATCCAGCATATAGTAATAATTTGTGTCAGTTAATATTCCATAATGGTTAGTTCTCTCTCTTCTATGGGGATGGAACAGTGTATCGTTTCTCTCATTGTCCTGCAGTAAAGAAATGGTTAGTGTGAGAGGCAAGAAGAGCCAGATTATCTGGGTCCCTACCCTACTCTCCCAAATAGCCACATGCCAGCTGTGTGACTTGACAAGTGACTGAACCACTTGGTACTCACTTACCTCATGAGTCAAATATGATTGATGACAATGGAATAGACCTTGTAGGTAGTGAGGGTTAAAGGGGCTGATATATTCAAGGAATTGAGACCATGGATGGAGGACTTGCACACACACACACACACACACACACACACAATGCTAGTTCTTCTGGTCTTGGCAGATTCTTTCTCCTCTTTCATGAGTAGATCAAGGGTCACCCAATATGGTGGGCTCATCTAAGGGTCTCAATGAATCTGGAGCTCTGTTCTGATAACATCATATGGGCAGAATCCTTGTCCCCGCACCTCCCTGAAAAACAGCATTGCTGCATCCCTAATTTACCCCAGACCCCCTAGCGTTCACTTACAGAACTGCAATCCTTAAACTCAGTGTGGTCTCACAGTCCACTTTAAAAAGCACTGACTTCTTGTCTTTAGTTGCTCATTAAACCTAAATTCTCTAATCTTTAATTTCTTTAGTTGTAAAATGGACCAATAATAGTTGTATTGCAGAGGGGTTGTCTTGCACATATATAATAATAATGGCTCACGGAGATTCTCTCTCTGAATCTTGCCCATTTACTGAGGGTCTCTGGATGGCGAGATGATGGACAGTGGCACAGCCATTGTGCTCTCTGTCCCCAGACAAAACTTTAATTCATTGGGAAATAGTGTCAAAAAAAGCTTTGGAAGCACAATTCCTGGGATCAGCTGGAAGCTAATGAGCAAGCCTAATCCAAATGGCTTCCTGGAAAGCTTCAGAAGTGCTGCAGAGAAGGAGAGGGTGAGGCCAGGAGCCCAGCTGGGCCTGGTTGTGGTTGCCACTGTTGGGAAGGATGTGGGTGGGCACAGACCCAAGGAGGGGATCTTGTGTGGGTTGTCTCCACAGATCTAGTACTGTGGTCCCATCCAGCACAGTAGTAGATGGCCACATCTTCATTTTCTATGAAATTTACGGTAAGGATTGAAGTGGAAGTTTGAGAATCCTTCCTTGCTTCAAGTTTATTTTTCTTCCCACCTAAGTTAGCTCGAGCTGGGGATTTTGTTGAGCTCACGTAAATCAGATGCTCCAAAGCCTTCTTTGGTTTCTGCCGGTACCAGTGAATGTATTCCCCTGCAAAATCTGAGCTCGTTATCTTGCAATGTATGTTAATACTTTTCTTTACTTCTGTGGAAATTGATATCTGGGACTGCTCCACTTTTGTTAACCCAAGTCCAACTGTAAGTAGAAGAAGAGAATTTCCAGTGAACTTCTGACAATATAAGAAACGTTAAAGAATTTCTTTGCTCACTCGTCTAGACTGCAATGGTCAGGGAATGTGACTCACCAGCCCAGAAGGACAAGAAGGTGAATGCTTCCAGCAGTGACATCCTGTCTGCCAGGCTGTGTCCTCAAGGAGAAGGCAGGAAAGTGAGGACCTGATGACTGGATGCCTCAGGTCAGTGGCAAGTGGGCGTGGGCTGAACTGGGGAGGGGGAAGGAAGTGGTGGGTCAGGTGGGACCTTGGCCTTTAGTGCCAGCTGCAGGGCTGAGGTTAGGGATTTCTGTGGGCCTCATACCCTGCTGATCTCAGGAAGGGGCTGATGGTCTCCTTAGGGCTCTTGGGCATGAATGTGAGGGGGCCATGGAGGCAGCTTGATTGCTGTGGAAATGGGAAGGGTTTCTACTTGTCTAGGAGCTATTTTATGAACACTATTTCTCAGCATAATATTTTAAAACATTGCATGTTGAATAAATATTAACTTTATAATAGCAAATATTTAATGAGCATTTTCTATTTGTTAGAATTTTTTCTAAAAGAAGTTTTTTACTTTTTTAATCTTCAAGACAATTACATGATATGGATGTTAGTAGTTTCCATTTTATAGATCGGGAAGTTGAGGGACAGAGGAGCGACGAGACTCAACAAAAGTCACATAGGGTATAATGGGACACGCTGGTAAAGTCATTCATGGAAGAAACTCAGAGAAACAGGGTAAAGGTGAAAAGGAAAATACCCATGATCATGTCACCAAAATCAACAGCTGTTATCATTATGATGCGTTAACTTCTAGATTTCTTCTTTGCATATATATATGGATATTAATATGATTTTGTGAACTGTAATTATATTTATAAGTTACATGTGGAATACGCATAGGGTTTTGTATTCTCCTCCTTTCAGTTCACGCTACATTCGCAGCAACTTCCCATGTCATTGAAGTGTTTTTTAATGTCGGCCGCTATTTCCTGTTCATCTCTATCACTTAGAAGCTGCCTGACTCTGTGCAAATTTCTTAATCTCTTTATTCCTCATCTGAAAATGGATGCAATAATCATACTCATCTCAAAAGTTTATGCAGATTAAGTAACTAAAAGTACCTAGTACCGTCTCCAGCATCTAACAAATGTTCAGGAATTGTTAGATATCATCACTGCTACCACCATTTTGTTAATTTAATTTCCCCATGCTGTCAACCATTTCATTTTGTCCCCAACTTTCACTGTTAAATGCTTTGGTGACCATTTGGAAATAGAAACCTGGGACATCAGTCAAATATTATTAGTATTTAATTTTCCACATTTAGAGAACTTCCTTTCCTTTGTTTTTTTCTTCAGCTACACTTCTTCATTTGTTTTCATGATTTCTATATGATTTTTTTCTGAAATCTTTGTGTGTGTTAGAGCTCCTTTAACCCTGGACAGCACTTGTCTCTGAAACGTATGTCCAGCTCTGTCACATATCGTGTGGGATCAATGTGAACACAGACTGGCTTGGGTTCTCCTGAGGAGAAAAGACAGGAAGAAGCTGGCTCAGTGGCTGGATTATTCTCCGAGGCAGCTGCCCTCTTTTCCCTCTTTTCCAGTAAATACCATTTCTGAGGTGATCAACACTGGGAAGTTGAACTTGAGTAGTAGAGGGTGGTAGACCAGAAGGCCAGTAGCCTGCAACTAGAAGGACTCACTGTTCCCCTGCACAGGGGCATCAGAAGGAGGAAGAGAGGGGTACCGATGCTCACCCTGGGTCAATGCTTCTGAGCAGGTGTGTAAGAGACCAAATATTTATCAGATGTTCCAGAACTGGTTCACTTTGTTGGCACCAATATATGACGAAGGTAGCAAATGAAATGTTGAGTACTGTGCATGAATATATTTATCCTTTTTTTCTGCTGTGGATACAGATATTTATAGTTGTACCATTTGACTACTAACTACTAAAAGAGAGAGAATAAGACAGATTTTTTTCTCTGAAATACTCAGATGCAGCATTAAATAATTTCTTTAGGTTCTCCCATAATCTGAACAGAAGGAAGGACAAACTCACTAGCCCAGAGAAAAGGGCAGATGATTGCCAGTAGCCGGCATCTTGTCTACCCAGGCTTTGCCTCCAAGGCCAAGGTGGAGAATTGACGATGCTGGTGGCCAGAAGCCTCAGGTCAGTGTCAGGTGTGTGTGTCTGCTGGTTTCAGGGAAGGAAATAAGTGGGTCAAACAGGGGTCACCATCCATGACGTTTCTGAGGTGCCTGGTTTATCTGGAGAACATTAGTCATGTTGTGGCAACAACAAGCCCACAAGTTCATTTCCAGATATTTGGGTAAATAGACAGACAGGTAGAAACAGATATAGTGATGGAGATGGAGATGGTGATGGAGATAGGGAGGGAGACAGAGAGAGACACAGAGATAGAGATAGGTGTATCTAGTGGAGATAGCAACATTGGCAATGTCCCTAAAGGAAGGTTTTTTTTTGAGTAATTGTCCAAGTTATTCCATACAAGGGGATAAACACAAAAGTAAAATTTAATTACAGGTACTAATAATTAATCTCACTGAGTCCTTGCTCTACACCAGATTTGATGCTAAGCATTTGGACTTAGAAACCTCATAATTGTCACAACAGTCACTGGAGTGGGTGTTACATCGCTGGAGATGCTCAAGTCCACTCCTGTCCTCTGACTCTAGCGTTTGGGGTCCTACTTGGTGGTTTATGTGGTCTGTGGAAAGGCCTTTTTTTCCCCCTATGTTTGCCATGACTGTCAGTTTCTCTCAAGGCTCTGGAATTTAAAGTCTGGTTACTGGATTCAAACAATACTATATCCATTGGTTCTTTGATAATTCTTTTTATCTAGGCTAGATTTGTCTTTCCTTAGGGCCAGGAAGCTTCATGGATTCAATTTATTTAAAACTCTGTATCTTGTCTACATAACTCTTTCTACTTACTACCTGCTAAATAGGGCCTCCCATAGCACATAAGACTCCTTTTTACTAATTAAAAAAAAGACGCACCCCTAGACAGAATTAGAAAAAGGCACTCTTTCTCCAGGCTGTTGCAGCCCTGCTCCCGGGTGTAGAGGGGGGTGGGCAAGGGATGGGATTTTTGTCCCCACTGGTGCCCCCTCACCCAGGCACCCTTGAGCAGGGCACGTGGTAGAACAGACACACACTACCACTCAGTGTGTGTTGCAGAGGAGTGTCATTATATGTAAATGACACATCTCATCTCTTTCTTGTTCTGATGTTGGAGGGAGGCACTAAACTTACAGACTTAAAATGGTTTCCTCCAGTTTGGAATGGTCTCTTTCAGGTTGATTCAGTCTCTTTTGGTACAGTCTTCATCTTTTCTGTTCCTGTCTTCCTCCTCTTGTCCCAAGATGACATCACTACACGTGGGAGGAGTGTTAGTTTTTATAGTCTCCTCCTGCCACTCTCTGTGTCCTCACTGACTTCCAGCCCTTTACCCTGCTGGTCTCTGGGATTTGGCCTCTTCCTCTGAATTGGCTGGTGCAATAACCGGACCTGAACCCCACCAGTGATTCACACCATGCCTTGGGATATGAAGTTCCCACCCTGCAGCTTCTCATCCTCATCCTGAGCGTGCTGCGTGTGCTGGACCCCTCAGCACTTCTCACCCTCTTAGAGACCCCGAGACGTGTTTGGATCTGCTATATGTGCAGCCTGTGGGGAAAATCAGTGCTGGTTTGAGATCGTCTTTGCAAATACCTTCCACTGTTGATGTTGTTCTACCATGGCCTACTGGGGAAGCTTGAGATCAGCCAGCTGTTCTCACATTCTCTCTCCTTCTGTTTTGGGTTTCTGTTGAAGTTTCTGTTCTTCTGAAATAAGACCCTCAGAGACAAGGGAAGCAGAAGCCCCTTCACCTGCTGTCTCCCCACCGTCTCTCAACAAATCCCAGAAACAAGTGCTTCCCCTTCCTCTTGAGGTGGATGCTAACTTCGCTGACATCACACCCCCAGTTTTCTGTGTCTAGTACCGCTAGGAACATTTGTGTTCCCAGTTTGTGAGGCTTGCCTTTTGACCTATATATATAAGAGATTTGAAAATTTAGAACATCCCTTCCTTTTTCAACTAAATCTGACTTTCAAGTCCATGATCCCATGATTAAGTCAAAAAGTGAGCTTGTTCTGGGCACAGCCACCGTCTCCTCCCACGGGTGGTAAATCTCACAGTTTGCCTAAGTGGAGGAAGGGCTACAGGTGACATCTCATGTGGAAGAATAAAAATGAGCTGGCTACAAATTTCGAAAACATTGTGCTCATCACACATTTTGATTGTTTACTTAAGTCCAGGCCATGGGGTTTCAAGCCCTCCCCATGTTGTACCCTAACCATGATATTTCCTGCTAAAGGAAGTTCATGAAACACAGAAGGTAGGTGATTTTCATAGCCTTTCCCCTCCACTAGGGAGAAGGCTCCTAGGGTAGACTGTCCACAAAGGGACCTCTATCAGCTATGCGCCTCAGGTGACCATTAAGCCATGGCTTCTTGAGTGACTATTCATTTGTTCCTTACCAGGATCTTCAGGGCTGGGCAGCAGGTCTACGAAACCCATCTTTGTCCACAGATGCCAGAGTATATTCTCATAAAGTTAATAAACACTAAGGGTATTTGAAGTGGCCCAATAGTGTAATTGAAACAACATGGGCTATTTGTTTAGACAGATTACGGCCCTTCTCTAAGCATCAATTCTGTCTTCCGTGAAATAAGTTTACTTGCGGGGTTTTTATGATGATCATGTGAGCTTCTGAACACATACAACATCTAGCACATTATCTCATAGCCACTGGGAGCTAAAAAGATATGAATTCCAATTTGTTCATTACCGGCACCTTCAGCCTGAGCTTTTCACTATTACTACAAATCCCTGAGAAATAAAATAATAGGCCTTACCTTCTTTCTGAGATAGTCAAGCCGTTACAACACACAGTTTGTAAATAGGAATCTACGTCAATAGGACATGATATCAAACCAGACATTTGGGGGCACAGCTACTGGCATCTGTGGGGGTGCAATTGATAGCCGTTAGACTCTTCTTCCCCTTTTCTTTGATACTGACACATTGACCTGAGAAACACAGGAAGTGCTGCAGGCTGAGGCTGAGGCCTAGACAGGGTTGACGTCTGGACTCAGAACCGAGCTTGCTCCGTGTTGGGAAGGATGTGGTCACAGTCATGATAAGGGCTGTGTATGCTTATTATCTTGGCTCCAATGATCCTGTAGGCTTCCAGGGGCAATGTATTAGGTCACTATGTCTTCTTCTGTGAATTTTTTATTAAGGACTAAAGAAGGACAGACAGAATTTTATGTACCTTATGGTTGCAGTTTTTTTCATGTAACTGACTTTGAACAAGGTTTTCTTTTCAATTCAATTGCTGATCTTCAAAAGCCTGATCTGGTGTCTGTCAATACCTGTATGTGTATGAAGCTATATTTGGATATCCTAGAGTAAAAATATATGCTCCCTTTCTGCTATTGAAATAAATATTTTAAGTCGCTTCAATTGTGTGTATCCAATTTTAACTTTAAATGGAAGAATAGTATTTCCAAGACAAAAACCAAAATTATCACAAGGTAGAACATTAATTTTTTAAAATTCGTCAATCAATTTGAGAAATAGAGGAATAAATTTCCACTCCCAGAGTAAAAAGCAGATGAATATTTGTAGCCATAACATCCTGTCTGCCCAGACTGTGTGCCCCCAAAGAAGGAAGGCACAGGAGATAGAGAACCTGGAACAGGAGGAGGAGGGAGCCTTCTAGAATGCTAGCAGAAGAAATGGGCGCTCAGAGCCCTGAGCCCAGATCAGTCGTTTCTGAGGTTACTAATCGGTCAGCACCATATGGAAGCTTGACTCATAACTATATGACACCAAAATAAGCAGCCCATTTACTAAGCTAAAAGTCATTCATACCTTGTTATCTTTTTGGGTCTTAGAACATTTTAGGAAGATTATTTATTATTATTGTTTCATCAAGGTTATCTTATTGATTTCAGTAGGAAAGTTGGTCAAAGTTACCCAGTCTGCTATGATCTGAAGACACCTTTTGACTTTTCCAGGTGAGTCTTCACTGGTCTCTCTAGCCACCAACCCTCAGGACACAGGTCAAACACCTCCATGACCCCTCACGCAGACCTCTGCTCTGGTCCCCTGGTGGCCCAGGGCCTGGGGAGTCCCCTTGCTTGGTGTGGAGGTGGGAGTGCTGCCTCCTCATGTCCTCACTGGGAGAAGAGAGAGGTTACCAAGACACTGCCAACAATGCTCTTTGAGAAAGTCTCTGCAGAATCAGTGTCCCCAAGGATTCTGTAAACTCCTCCTGTACCCAGGCTGGATGTAGTTCATGGCCAAAGGTTGGAGTTATCAATTCTGGCCATCTCATAGCAAGTCTTTCAGAAAAGTAGCTTGCCCTGGGTTTCTCAACTTTGGCATTGCTGACATTTTGAGCTCAAAACTTCTTTGAGATGGGGTGCTGTCCTGTGCATTGTAGGATGTTCAGCAGCATCCCTGGCATCTACTCACTAGATGTCTGCAGCACCCCCAATCCATAGTTGACAACCGGAAATATCTTCAAACATTACCAAGGCCCCCTGGAGGGGGATTGCCCCCAGCTAGAATCACTGATCTGGTCCCTTTTGTTATGGATGCAAGCATACCTTGTGACTGTTGCCTTACGCTTGAGACTGGGACAAAATGAAACTCTCAGTACACATCCAGCACACGAAAGTTCTATTCACTCATGAGCAATATCATTTAATATCTGTAGCATCTTTTCTTTTCTTAGGGGTTTCTCTCCCTCTTCTGAGTCCGTATAACAGCAAACAACTCCATTACTTAGTTAGCATCTGGCACTTCTGCCTTGCTTGACCAGTTGTTACCTGTTGCTTTCCTATATCCTGTGCTAAATTTCATTTTTCTATATCAGCCTTATGTTTTAGTCATTGTTAAATCCTCCTACTGCATCAAGCATGATGCGTCCCCTACATGAGCACTCCTTAAATATTGGTTATCACTAAGAGATAATTCATATTACAGATCTCATTGGAATGGATAAAAGATGTTAAAATGAAACTATAATCCTTTACTTTCACATAGTATCTACAATTTCCAAATCATTTACATCTATTAGCTTACTTTAGCTAAATGATGCTATTTTGAGGCAGGAAGCAAGTCCCAGAGGGCATGAGGGTGTAACATAACGCCCCTCAGGCAGTAAATGGTAGAGCTGCAACCCCAACGTCTTTCTCTTATATCGAGTCCACACAGTGTACTATAGAAGAGAGCATGAAATCATTCAGTGCTGCTTTTCATCCCAATTCTGCTTTTTATCAGTTTGCTTTATTTGCCATCTAACACTCAGCATCTTCAACTATGTAAATGAAATAAGAAAGCCTATCTCCCAGCATCAGTTTAAGGAAGGTACATAGCACAACCCCTGGCGTAACACGGGAGCTCAGTGGACCCATGACCTTCACCGCTTTCCTCTCCTCTCTGCTTCTGTTGAAGCAGACTGAGCTGAGCACAGATCTACTGTTGGGAGGCCTATATAGGATTAGGGGTACGCTCTTTATGTTCCTTGACTTGAATGATATCAATGGCATCTCTAGACAGAACTCCCCAGCCTGAGGTGCTGTGGGGTCTCAACCCTGCCCTCCTAGAAGATTCTCTGTGGGGTGGAGCTGCATGACCAAGTCTGTGAAGCAGCCACACTCATCCTCCTCTTCAGAGAGATCCCTACATCCCCTCTCACAGCAAACATGGGCAAGGAGGGAACTGGCTAAAAATGTCCTATTTTTCCCGTACCCAAAGTATATGTGAACATTAATGACTGGAGAGTTTGATTAAAAAATAATAAAGATCTATAAATAATAACATATTTGAAAATTTGGGATGCTATTTTTCCCGAGATATGTCCTTTCAGTGTCAGAAAACTTGATTACAATAGCAATTTTACTAATCCTTCTTACTGTTTCAACCCAGTTGTCTGTGATAAAAGTAGACTTTCTCGTTTTCTTATTTGGCAAAATCTTTACTTGAATCTTCCGGTTCCATGAGGCTTTATCAATGTTTCATTAATTTCTACCTTCTCAGAACACTTATGTACTACATGAAATCAAGGAATCATTAGTTTAATTCTTTATTTCCCTTGAGGTGAATACATAATGAATAGCATAGTGCCAGACCTATCATTATTTACTCAAATATTCTGTTTGATTGATTAATGATGTTTCACCCAATAAATTAGAATTCTCTGTTTCAACCGTTTCCATTACAGGACCACATTTCCTACTTGGGTACATTTGTGGCAACATATTCTGCATCTTCCTGAATATACAGAGCAGCCTGTCCCCGCTCCTCTTCTTTTTCCTTTATTTCAGTTCTTCCTGGATATGTGCTGTGTGGTGGGAAAAGCATGTTTTAAGGACATTCATACCTGCTTCAAATCCCTTCTCTGTTGCTAGCAATGCCTGCGTGATTTGGATGCTACAGTCTCTCTCTGAGTCCCAGGTCCCTCACTAGAAACAGGCCTCAGGCTGTACCAGCTTCTCCCAGCATCCATAGCGGAATCAGAGCATAGTGGCCATCCTAGCCAAGGCTGAAGTTTGCTCTTTCAAACATCTGAGCTCCAAGAGGCTCTTGGGAGGAAAATTCATCACGGTGGACTCCTCTCTGTGTCTCATTTATACCCTGTTACACAGGTCCAGGTCACAAATAATAACAACCAGCACTAACAGTTATTGAACACTTAGTATGTGAGAGGCACGGGTCTAAGGTCTTTACATGGATTAACTCAATGAATCTTCCAGCGCCCCTCTGAGGTAGGACACTTCCTACACCCCTTTAACTGATGGGGAGACTCAATCTCAGAAAGTTGAACTGGGTAGCTTTATGTCCTGTGTGGGCACCTATATATTGGGAAAAAAAGGGATATGAAAGGTGTAAAGGAACCCACTCAACCACAAATATTTGTACTGTACACAGTAAGTCAATTAATGCTCTGTAGAGATGTCTCCAAAATGCCACCAAAAACCCTTGATTCACTTCTTGAATTTTTACATATGGTGGCTGCTTCCTCCATGAACCTCTTCTCCCTAACCTGTGGACAATGATCACCTAGTCACCACAGGCCCTGACGCTCAGGTTCTCCTCAGTAAGGGGATTCCATTTCTCAGCAGCTCTCAGGCTGTTACCAGTGTGGTTGGGGGTGTGCCCAGGAACACTGCAGATTCTGCACACAAAGTAGTCAAACTAACTTCTCACATGTGTGTTCTGCTCAGTCTCCATGACTGACCCAGACATCCTTGACTCTCTCATCCGTTCACTATTATACTCTGTCCTCCTGTATTCAATTAACACTCCCCAGGGCATCAGCAGAAATTCACCAACCATGACCTTGCCATAGTGAATCCCTCATTTAGAGAGAGGCCAACTGGAATGTTTCCTAAATCAAGTGACTGTGAGAGTGAAACAAGTTGGGGCCATTTTTTAGAAATCAAACTTTAAGAATCTGGCAATGATTACCCTGAAGATGAGATCACTCCATCCAGAAAGATATAGAACTGACATCTAAATATTTCTCTGTAGGATTTTCATGCAGAAAAGAGCGTCTGCAAGCTCAGAGGTTGAAACTGAAATCAAGTGGTATAATTCAGAGAAGATGCATTTTGGGCACTGTTGTTTTCTCCATTTTGGAGATGAGAAAACCGTTACCTAGAAGAGGTAAGACCTTGCTCAAGGTCGCAGAACTCATAAATGGCAAAGCAGGAGTCAGTGAGGGGTGAAGAGGGGTGTAGGGCGGTGCGGAGGCTCACAGCAGAGCACTGGGCAGCTCCCCTGGGGAATGTGGACGATGCTGTTCTGTAGGGAGATGAGTGAGGAGCTTGTTCCCCTGTTGGCCACACCCTCATTATCACCAGTTCACAGAGCTCCCTCTTCCATGGAGTCAGGCACTGAGGTGGGGGCAAGAAGGAGAAAGGGTTCTGTGCTATTAGCACAATGGGGAAGATGCAATGAAGGAACAACCTGGAAACAGAGCTAAAGTAAGATTCAGGCCCCTCTACCCCGACCCCTTCTCACGCATACTGGGGGGGTCTTAGCCTCGACCTAGGCCTTCAATAGAAGGTGGGAGTGCTGGGTTCTTTCACAGGCAGGCATGTCTGAATTAAAAATTCCTCACTGCAAAAACAGAAGCCAAGGGAGACAGACAATGAGTTAATGAATCTGAGGAACCCATTTCCTTCAGATGATTTAGACTTTTCTTTAACCATTTTTACCAATGCTATTAAACTGTACATAAACTTTGAATTTTCAACTGAAAATGTGTCAATTCAGCTTAGACCTCAAAAAGCTTTTTTTCTCTTCCCCACATACAGCAGCAGAGGGGTTTCCTGTTTGGGGCTTGAGAATCAGTAACACAGATTTTCTTCTCTTTTCTTGCCCTTCCCTTCCCTTTCTTTTATTTTCTTTTCCTTCCTTTTCTTTCTTTTTTTTGAGGAAGTTTATTGGCCTTGTAAAATGGTAGTGAACATAATTATAACTTTTTTTAATGATTTTGCATTAATACAGAAATCAGAGCCACAGAATTTTAGCAGTTAAGACACATCTTTATACAGATGAAAGAACAGATGTCCGTAGCAGCTGGAGATCCACCCAAATTTCCATATGGGGTGAGGTTAGGGGAAAGTGGAGGCCAGATGGCCTGATGTCTCCCCAGGGCTGACTGCATCATCCTGCATGGAGATTGTCATCTACCACCACGATCTGAGTGGTGGGCCTGCTAATGGACGAGGGCGCCCAGAAGGTGGCAATATTGTCTCCTGTGCATCTACCCGCTGACTCCTCTGCCACAAAGTGATCGATGGATGGTGGTGCAGCAACTTAGAAACTGGATTTAGGAATTGCTTTCAACCACTTTGTGGTAAATCTTTGGAGAGTCCTTTACCCTTCAAATGATTTGCAAAATATTTTATTTACATATTCTTCAGGAGGGATGGTGAGATTCTTAAATTGTTAGTCTCTAACAGAACTATCCGATAGAAATAAATATGAGTCACTAATTTGAGCCACAAATTATATTTCTTTTAGCTGCTGCATTAAAAAGGTAAAAAGAAACAGGTAAAATTAATTTTATGACTATTTTCATTTAGTCTAAGATATCCAAAATATTATCATTTCAACATGCAATCAATAGAGAAATTGTTAACGATATATTTCACTTTTTTAATACTCAGTCTTCAAACTCTGGTTTGTATTTTACACATTCAGTCCATCTCACCTTGGACTATTGGTCTGGCTACGTTTCAAGTGCTTGATAGCTACATGTAGCTAGTGGCTACTGGATTAAGCAGAACAGACTCTCCTCCAAATGCTTCAGAAACGCTGACCAAATGATCTTTACAAAGGTCTCCTCTGACTAGACGGCTCCCTGAGTCTGCGCCAGCCTGTGCACTTGGGTTCTTCAGTCTCATCAGATTGTCTGCAGTGGGCTGGTGGAGGTGGCCTAGAAGAGTCTAGGATGCTGAGGGATGACTCCAGGGCAACCTAAGGGACCCAGGGGTGGTGGAAATTACCGGGCATAAACAGCCCAGGGAGTCTGAGTTCTTTTTGTATGGGGGCCACTGTGGCTCATGGGGCTGTATGGGTCCCAGGTAGTGCAGTAATACATGCCTGCATCATGCTTCTCCAGCATCAGCACTGACAGGGTACTGCTGGTGCCGTCCTTGGCCTCTATGGAGGTGATTTTATCCACTTTCAGGACCAAATCCCACAACACATCCGGCTTAAACATGTCCAGTCAGAGAAGTCTCTCAAGGTCCTTGCCCTCCTGGTGGTGGTACCAGTGGATGCAGCAGACTGTGATGTGGGCCATGCCCAGCAGGATTGCCAAGCTACCCGAGAATACCACCACCAATGCTTCCTGCTCCAGCTTCAGCACAGCCAGGTTGCCTGCCGGGGAGATGGCCGTGAAGCAGGGGCAGCAAGAGTCTCACAAACAGGAGGGCCAATAGCATGGCAAGGTGGCCCAGTGTGGCTCTACTTCCTGCCCAGGTAGAGTGAAGCCGAGAGTGACCTTATGGGAAAAACTGCTAAGGTGAGCCACATCTTTGTGTGTGGTGGAGGCCAGTTAAGCCTTTGAGCCACTGCTTCAAAACAAGAAGGTGACTTGTGAGAGAAATGGGGGAAGGAAGGAGTGACTGGAAAGAGAAGAGAGAAAAGTCTGACCACAAGGTGAAGGGAGGGATGATAAATGGTGAGAATTCTGAGAAACACTTAGAGAATGTTGGTGGAATAGTAACAGCAATAGTAGCATTCTTGGATTGGACATGGACTACACTCTGGCACTATGCTAATTAGCGTATGTTTATTGTTTTATTAAATCCTGCAAATAACCCTGTGGGATAAATATTATTATCCTCAGTTTGGAAATGGGGAAAGCAAGGCTGGTATTTTAAATCAGTTTCCCAAGACTGCACATTGTGAAAGATGACATGAGTGGGGCCACATTAAAATGGAGGCAGAGCAGCCATTTCCAAGGATTTTCCTAGCTCATCTTGCTTTCTTTATCCCCAAACTGGACTAAACTGCTGACATTCTAAGTAGTCAGTAAGGACAAGAATATCCTGTTTGTAAGAAATGATGAAATTGGACTTTGCTGATGACCAAATCACTAACCAATCAACGAAGTACAAGTCCAGCCTTTTGCCTGATAACTGAATCTTAAGTCAATCTATGAAGAACAATCCTAGCATTACCTCATCTGGCAGCAATGAACTCTTCTCTAATACAACTTACCTCATCTTCTTCCATTTTTCTCATAAAAACCTGAGTCCCTCTCTTGTAAACAGGACACTTCTTTGGGTTTCTACCTGAATCTGTTCCCTGAATTGCAATTCTTTATCCCAAATAAATGTTTTGCCTCTTAAACTGGTTTCTGCTTCTATAGGTTGACATATGGTGTCAGAAGTGGGATATGAAGCGATCTCATCTTTGCACACCAGTGTCTCCTGGAAACAGGTTTGGTATGAACATGAGTCCCCTTGTGTGTGCACCACTTCCATGGACCAGCTCTTCCAATCAGGAGTCCACTCAGGTTCTGATCTGCCTCACTTTTGGCTGAGGTCTTCGTCTTTCCTTGGGATTCTGGGGGCAATAGTCTGATCTGGGGTCAATTGACCAGGAGACAATTGTCTCTGAGACAAGTCACATTTTCTGCTGTCTGAAAGGATTTCCCTCTTTCGATCAGTTATGGCAGCTCACAGGTATTGCCATCTCAAAGGATTTCTCTGTTTGAGCCATCTAGGACTACTGCCATGTGAGGGTTTATTCCCTATCTGATGAATGCTCAAATTATGACTTTTGTGTAGTTTGTCCAAACAGCTGGAACCAGGTAACAACCTGGTTCTTGAAACCGGCACAGCTGTAGCCAGTGGGTCAGAAGCATAAGTAACAAACGGGGCCTTGCGACTGGTGTCTCTTTGTCTAGTTGTCCAGCTGTGCTTTAACATGGAAATTTCATCTTGTAAAAGTTCCTGAGAATTTCCTCCCTAGAAAGTTCCCGCTGACTTTATATTTAAGAACTATGATCTTTCTTCTTGTAAAGTTTTATCCCAGTGGACTAATAATACTAAGGATGATTTAAAATACAGTGGTCACTTTGGGGCTAGTTTGAACTTCCAAAACTTGTTTTTTTGTGCACTAGATTTGAGAATCACAGACTAGACAATTTGAATGCAATGTTTAATTTTTAAAAAGTCAAATGTGCCACATTCTGACACACCTACTTAAAAACAATGGTTTCAGAAGCTGTAAATATTTAAAAACAGCAGCAAGATCTTCCTAAGCTTAGTTTATGTCCTGAGAGCTTGGCTTGGTAACCATCAGGTTGGGGCCCTAAAATATGGTCATACAGAAATGTGGGTTGGACTCCATTTGCAACCAGAACTGGCTGGGCAGAAATGGAGGTTAAACTCCATTTGCAGGTAAGATCCTGCCAAACTTCTGCCAGGCTCAGGGAATTATGTTGGCATATAGAATGAATAGATAAGCCCATTTAAGAAGTGCATTTAAAAGCAAAGTTTTCAATATTCCAAAACAGTCTTGTGGAAAGTTTCATTGCAAAAAGCTAATGAAAAATTAAGATATTAGGAGTACCTAAAAGAAAACACTATGCAAATGTTCATTAAGATAATAGCTTTACAGGCACTCTCATAGCTACCTTCAAAGGAGGCCCTGTATGGGCCCCTCACAGAGTTAATAAAACTCTGAGAGATTTTCTGGTAAATTGTTATGTTATTCCTTTAAACAGTCAAGGAGAAACTAAAATTTAATGGAGATGCTTAATACTGCCAGAAATATTTACTGTTCGTCCCAGCTGAAACCTGACAAGATATTTGAAAAGAGTTGGTAATTTATGATGAGAAATTTGGCCAAACTGGAAGCTGATCTTCAGAGACTGACAGGAATTTTTTTTTTAATAGGACTTCTTTCCTCAGTTAAAATAAGACTATGTACCCAGAGGGAAAGAAGCAAATTAGGGATGGTGTAGTGGACATGCAGATCAATCTATGATGCCATTTAAGTTACAACCCAATTTCTGAGGAATTGAAATCAACTGTCCTTATCTTTAAATCTTTGCAAAACTGGAAATGAAGCTCCTGGAGGAGCTCTCTGGAACTGGAGGCAGTTCATATTTCACCAATTCCCTTTCACCAATCCCCAAAACTTCCCCTATTTAACTCAAAAAGCTTATAACCTCTATGGGAACTGTTATCTAGACCATTACGAGTTTCTAAGATGTAAGGAAAAGAGAGAAACAGCTATAGAAGTACCCTTGCTGAAAATCTAGCATCTTAAGTGTCTTCACAAATATTAGAAGGAAAAAAGCTTTACTCATCCAAGCAGATAAATTTATTTATTCCATCTGTCAGAAACACAATTTGGATAGAATTATTCTTTTGTAACTAGTAAGCTTTTTATTACTCTACCTCACTCATGGCAGTAAATTTATAACAATAACTATGGACTCTCTATGTACCTGTGTCTATATATATATGTATGTTATATAAATGTGGTATTTTCCTACCTGTGGATGGCGTAATTTCTAAAAGAGCCCTATTTAATTGGCTTAAAACAAGCACTATATAAATTGAGTATACTTTCAAAAATATAATAGAAACTAATGTAAATGAATTTCAGGATCACATGATCTAGGAAAATATTCAGTATTAGAGTTAATTGAAGCTTATTGTCTTTAGAGTTATCATCATTAAATAGGAAATCCTTTGGGTTAATAAAAGTCAAACAAATTCATATTATCTCTGTTACAAAATTTGGCAGCAAAAACATTGAGGGTTGACTGTCTAATGTCTCACAAAGTTTTTGTAGGTAATCTAAACATGATTATTGGGAACAAGTAAACTAAATATGTGCAAATAAGATCAAAATGTTTTCAGGTGAACTTTTTAACAATAATTATATGTTATGGTACATGTACTTAAAAATAACTTCAAAATCTTTTTGGTAACTTGAAACCTTAGAGTTTTGCTAAGTTAAGTTAAATGATGGAAATTCATTGAATGTCTAGATGATTTCTAAGTAAAATAAAACACTGAAACATTCCTTGTTAAACAAGTCTAAGTTGACCTACTTTGGGCCTGTTGCTATGGAAAAACTCAAAGATGTTTGAGCCTGTTAGTAAACATTTCTTTTGCCATATTAGAAAAAATTATGCTATGACAAAATGTATGCTTTCAGTAAAAGAACTTATAAGAAATGGAGACTTTTTGTTAAGAAAGTAAATTTGTCCTAAAGTAATTACATTTCATCAAAATAGTTTCCTGTTTTGTTTCTATCAGTTCTTTTATCACAAAAGCCAAAGCCAAGGTTTTTTTTTTTTTTTTACAACCATTTAACTTTCTGTATTTGCCTGAAAAGCTTTGCCACCATGGTTAAATGGATAACTAAGACTTATTTGACAGTGACCTATAATCCTATTGATCAAGTGTTTTAAAACATTTTGATGTTTTTGACAAACTACCCAAATCAAATTCTAAATGAAACTTTTGACCAGGAAATAACTTTGAAGTTTTCTAGAGGGCCTCTGTAACACCTCACCTCAAAGAATTTGTTCTTTCCTATAAAAATGGAAATATTAAACTAATTAGGCTTATTTGGTATGTTATACTACATGGAAAGCATTGTAAAAAAAATAACGATAAATCTTCTTAGGTAATATTGAGTGGTTTAATGTTAATAACATGTGTTCCAAAAATTATATAAAATTCCCAAAATTCTGATGTCTTGGTATAATGTTATCAATCATAATTCTAGACACTATCTTAGAATGTGTGTCATAAAAATAACCAGGCTTCTTTGTCAATTGCATTATAACGTTGTCTTTTGTAATTTATAGATGGTTATCTTTTTACTTTGACAGTTACTCTAGAATACAGGTTTCTGATCAACTTTTACATCATAAAACCAAACTGGGTAACAAATGACAGAGTCTAACAGAGAAACTGATGGCTTCATAAAACTGCTAACAAAAGATCAAGAACAAATATTAATTACATGGGACGACATGAGCTGAGGAGGATGCTTTAATGTTTCGTTTTTCCATATTTAAAGAAATCTTTTCTCTTCAGCTATCAACAATTTGGTAAGTTATATCTTTGTGAACAAAGATGGCACATTTAATTTTTCTTCCTACCTGACTCCTCCAGAATTCGGATACTCTCGTTTGTTTAATGCAAACAAATTAGTTTTCTTGTGATTACATTTGGTTTAACAAAATGATGGCAATTATACAGAGACAAATAATGTTTGCACCTTTGTAGATGTTGGATTCTAGCCCTGTCAATTATCTTTGAGGTTTTGTTGTAAACTCGTGGACTGGACTCCCCTGGCCTAGAGTACTACCTTTGGTCTTGCTGAATCTCTGCAGTGGCCCCTGACATTCTGTGGTTCTTTGATCTCTTTTGCTGGCTGCCCTCTGGCATTGCCTCCTATTTCCTGTCTATTCTCCAATTTGGACTTCACATTTTGTTTGTTCTTATAGGAATTCTTATTATTGTAAATTTTTTTCTGCTTTGCATAACTTGATGTTTTAACACCACCACCAGATAGTGGTTGCTCAGTGCTTTGAAATGATTACTGAGGCTTATGAAACTTCACGTGAGAAACTTCAAGGAACTGCAGAAGAATTTTACTCTTGAAGGAGCTGGACAGTAGAGCCAGCCTCTGCTCTGGTGCTCTTTGTGCTCAAATATGGCCTAAAGGCTCCTAAGGAAACTGCTTTCCCTCCTATGTGGGACATGACAGGAGTCCTCCTGGAAAGGAGGGACCAACGATGCTTTGATGGTTGATCAATAATGTTTTCCAAAAGCCTATCAGGAATGCTTTCCAGTGTTTGATCAGTGATCAGAAAAAAAATTTGGGGGCTGGCTCGGTGGCACAGTGGTTAAGTTTGCTCCTTCAGCTTTGGCGGCCCAGGGCTCACCAGTTTGGATCCTGGGTGTGGACGTGGCACCACTTAGCTAAACCATGCTGTGGCAGGCATCCCAGATATAAAGTAGAGGAAGATGGGAATGGATAGTAGCTCAGGGCCAGTCTTCCTCAGCAAAAAGAGGAGGATTGGCAGCAGATTATAGCTCAGGGCTAATCTTCCTCAAAAAAAAAAAAAAAAGAAAAAAGAAAAAAATTTGATCTTAATGAGAAGGGAAATGTGAAAGATGACAAGATTTGAGCCAAGTGAAAATAGAGCTGGAGCAGCTGTTTCAGAGGAACTTGCCTTGCTCATCTTGTTTTCTTTATCTTCCAGACTGGACCAAACTGCCAACATCCCAAGAAGTCAGAAAGGACAAAAATGTCCTATTTGTAAGAACTGATGAAATTAGACTTTGCCGATGAGCAAATGGTAACCAATCAATGAAGCACAAATGCAATCTCTTGCCTGATGACTGGATCTGAAGCCAGTCTGTGAAGTACAAACCCAGCCTTGCCTCATCTAGCACCAATAAACTCTTCTTTAACACGACTTACCTCACCTTCTTCCCTTTTTCTCATAAAAACCCTGAGCCCCTCTCCTGTAATCAGGACACTATTTGGATTTCTACCTGAATCTCTGCTCCCTCAATTGCAGTTCTTTGATCCCAAATAAATGCTTTCCCTCCTAAACTGGTTTCTGTTTTTATAGATTGACAAGCTATGAAGAATGAGGTGGGGATATGGAGCCAGGTCTGGCTGGAGACAAATCTCATGCTTCATTTATAACTTCATACTTGTAGAGCAACAAGGGTGTTGCTTGCTTGGGAGGGAGGGACGAACACAGAGCAGCAATCCCTGCCAGAAAGCCATGCCCACCATCTGAGCTAGCTTTGGAGCATTTTGCCTAGAGGTCCCATTCGAGGGGGATTTAAAATGCCCTAAAATGAGATGATAACTCTTAAGTCTTGGGCAAGTTATGTCACCTCCTTTTCCTCATCTGTAAAATGGGACCTCATGGGGTTGACTGAAGAGAAACAGGATAATGCGAGGAAAGCATGCACCCCAGTCCCAGATGCCTAGAAATGCGCAGGAAAAGGTGGAGATTATTGTTTCACCTCAAAACTGCCGGGTTTCAGTAGATGATCTCAGGGGTCAACATAAAGTAGAAATTATAGGGAATATCTGTTTTGGAGAATCAGGGGTGTGTATGTGTGTGTGTGTATGTATGTATGTGTATGTGTGCATGTGTGTGTGTGTGTGTGTGTGTAGCCAAAGGAAGAAGCCTAGATTGAATCATGGGGCAGTGAGGGTGAGGGGACAGGACCGGGTCCTCCCGTTCCAGCACCATATCTTCAGAAATGGTAAGACTGGGAGTTGGGGGGGATCAGCTGAAGAATGCACCTGAAATGAAGCTTTGAGAAATAGAGGTGTTTACCAGAGGGAAAGTGGGGAGGGAGGAGGGCGAAAAGGGTGATTAGGCAAATGTGTATGTTGATGGATTGTAATTAGTCTTTTGGTGATGAGCATGATGTAATCTACACAGAAATCGAAATATAATTACGTACACCTGAAATTTATATAATGTTATAAACCAACGTTACTGCAATTAAAAAAAAAGTTAAAAAAGGACAAATGGAGGTAGCCTACACTTCTAGCTGAAATGAAAGCTCTTTTTGCGTATGATAATTATACCCAGGGCCTCCTGGGTATAATTATGCTAATTAGTTATGCTAATTATACCCTGTTGGCCAAGTGGAGGAAGCAGCTGGAAAGGGGATTTGCCCTGGGGAATGAAGTTGTTGGTCCGTCAGCACCGAGTACCAGACCCAGTTCCTGATCCGCTCTTCTATAGTAAAACTGAAAGTCAGACCTCCTCATCTATTAGCAAGACCCAAGGCTCAAGTGTCCCAAAATGCAGGTGTGGGAGGAGAGGGAGAATTCCTAACAACCGCCCCCTCCACACACTGGTGCTTGTGGCTGGCCAAATAATTAAAATGACATAAGGCATGTCAGCAGGAGAAAATCAAACAAAACTTAGCATGTGTACACCAGGAATTCACGTAAGCACGAAGAATTCCGAAGGCAGTCGTGCAAAATGAGGTGTGTGTATATATATATCTTTCTGGAGTAAAGAGAGAGAGACAGAGGTCTGAGACTTCAAAGGGAAAAAAGGCAATTTACAGAAAGATGAAAAGAATTAATATTTGGTAGACAATGAGACCCAGCAGAGATTTTTTGATAAAGGGACGCTTGCTAGATGCCTTCTTGCCCACCACAGCTAGAGTTATCTGTGGTAAGAACTCCTTCTTGGAAGAGGTTCTTCTGTCTTAAATTATTTTAGGCACTTTGGGGAAAGATAAAATACTCTTTCTGAGTCTCCTGAGCCTTGATTGTTTTCAGCTTGATATAATCCCTATACCCGACTGGCACGTCTTGGGGTGGCCTGCCCTGAAGCCTATCACAGGCTTTTGGGTTGTTCTGAATTGGTGAGATGTTAGCCAAATATAAAGCAATAGAATTCTTTGCTAAAAGAGTATTCCAGGGCTATCATTTATACCTTCTGCAGATGTTTAGCAAAGCTATGGTAAATGTTAAGCGGAAAACAAAGTGACAACTGGGGTGACATCTGCATAGCAAAAGGACAGGTGGAAACAGTCTCAATATAGAGAGTGAGCAGTTTGGGGGTGAGAAATTGGGTGAACTGTCTTCTTTCTATTTTTCTCTATTTCCTAAATTTTCACTAATAAGTAAACATAACTTTGGGGGACAAAATCCACAACCATCTATAGTGTCATGAAAATAAATTATATTTCACATTGTCAACATTCAAAATGATGTTTTTCTTAATTATTATGGTCATTTTTATTCAATTACTTCTCAACTTACAGGCTCAAGAACTGTTGAAAATAACCAGCCGTAGATTTTAATGAAGTCTGTCCCAGCCTCCAGCCAAATACTCTTTGCAGTGTGTTCAATTACAAAAATAATGCAATTTAGTAATGAGACTGACGCGTCTATTCAAGGGAACACAATCCACGGACCGGGGAGCACAGCGCCTCACAGGCAGTGGAGCCCTCTGCCCAGGGACTGTGGGCCAATGGAGCTCTATGGAGCCTGAGAAACAGCGATGCAGAAACAGGCAGGATTAGCCAGGAGGTCAGGGACTGCCTTATAAGGCCAGCAGGTCAATCAGCAAACAAGGAGAGAGCATTCATCTTAAGGTGATTGGCTTGGGTTGTGGATCTGCCCTTATTTAGAACAGAGAAATCATCACAGGTTCCTGGCAGGTGGGGCCTGGCTGGCTGGATAGACTGCGTTTCTGGTCCAGCGCAGCATTTACAGGGACAGGAAAGTTATCGAAGTTCCGATTTGCTGACCTGGTACCTGGGGCAAGAGCGGATCCATCTTGGGCCTAGAAGGTAATTTCAACAGGTGACGTTTGTTTTCCTTTCCTCTACTTCTCTTCCTGCTGTGATGTGTCTGAGCTCCTCTCTAAGGGGCCCTTAAAGGTTATACTCATCCAAAAGAGACACATGCATAAAAAAACGATAGAGGAAAACTCTTGTTCAGGACACAGTCAAAGAGCAGCCAGAGCCTTCCCTCTCAGCCCTCATGTGGAGTCAGGAGGGTTCTCGTCGACCCCCCTGCTCTCCAGGAAAAGAGGAGCAGGTGTGGCTTGAGGGAGCAGGACTTCCTCTCATCCGGGTCTTCCTGCTGCTGCCAGGACTGACACCGCTCTGACGGAGCTGAGCTCAGGCAGCCTGGGAGCAGGGGTTGGGCAGAGCAGATCAGACTCAGGCAGAGGGGGGAGCAGAGATCCAGGTACTGAAGTTTGGACTTTTACTTTAACCTCTGAGACCCTGGCGACTTTATCTGACCCGGGACAGCGCTCTTCTGGCCATCACCTAATTTGAGAACTCATCGAATTTGACTTCTTCATGTTAGTCACATGGAATCAATTAGATGTACATGTGAGGACAATTATTAGTGAAATGGACAAGCCTGGAAAACCAAAAAGAAGGAAGCCATTGACATATTTTGATGAGAGGACTCTTGATATGATTCTTTCTTTTATCTCCAATTTACATCTCTACAACACTGTGTGTAAACATATTTTCTTAAAAAAATCGTTTGTCTTTTATTAGAGTTAGCAACCCCATTTTTTAAACCGAGTCATAGGTTTTCTAAGGAAACAGAGAAGCTTAGACACTTAAAGATGAATGGGGAAGCTATCCTACAGGAAGCCTCATTGTTTATCATTACTAAGGATGAGAAAGCAGCTCCCAAAATGCAGGTGACCCCTTCAATATGACAGGACTGTCAGCACTGATGCAGGATCAGAACACCTCTCCATCCTTTCTAGTGTGCGTACCTTTCATGGAGTGAACCTGTCATTTCAAATTCACCAACGTCATCCAGAGCACCCAGGACATGTCAGATGCAGGGCCAGGCCCTTTCACAACATTGATCTCATGTTTACAACCAGTGAAGGTAATGAAACTCTATGAGGCCGCACTTGTATTCTCAGTCACCAGAGGAGGACAGTCAGGCTCCCTGGACGTTCCTCACAAAAGTCGCTTTAAAGAGCTGACCAAACACAAGATTTATCAGGTTTGGGAGCACTTCCTTTTAAAGAACATGAAAAGACACCATCAAGTGTCCATTTGTAAGACCAGAAGTAATTCAGAGAATGACAGGAAGGTGTACAATAAAGGGATTATGAGAATTTGGTCTGAAGAAATAAGAAGACATTGAGCGTGATTTGTCTCGGGGATGTGTGGTATGTCACGAAATAGGAAGAAAGTAGAATGAAATGTGCCATTGGCATTGGTGTTGGTGGTGCTGTGGTCTCTTTAGTGGGGTGCATAAGACAATACACTGGTGTGTGGGAAGAGAGTGTTAGAAATATTTGTATTTGTTTTTACCACATATTTTTCAATTGCTTATTTTTGTGTATGTTTTGTAATATGTGCAATGCATTTCTGAGTTTAGCATTACTTTATAAACAAATAAATATACATATATTGAGGGTTTATTCATGCATAAAATAAGCCAAGAAAATTTTGAAAGAAAAAGCAAAAATACTTGCCTACCAAAAAGCAAGAATAAGTATAAAGCTACACTAATTAGAACACTGTGTTCCTGGCACAGGAATAGACAAAATAGAGATTCGACCCCACTTGTAAATGTGAAGTTGTGCATAGACAGTGACTCCACCTCCACCTGTTTCTTTAGAGACACTGTCATGTGTAAGTGGACAGAAACAGTGGAAGTGAGATAGAGCAGAAAGGGGTATGTGACCTCTGGACCCTTAGTTATCACAGGGGTGGCAACGAAGAACAGGGGGAGAAATGATGGATTAGTCCATAATTTGTGGGAGAAATTGGATCTCCACACTCAGATTCCTACCTTACTCCTGTACACAAAAATTCAATTCAACGCAGATCAAAGAAATAAATATGCAGAACAAAGCCTGAACACTATTAGAAAAATATAAACAAGAATACTTTTATGCTTCAAGGTAAGGAAGAAACTTTTATAAAGCTGCAAATACATGGTCCCTTGTATAGTAGAGCAAGTTAAACCCGGTTCATTCAGTGGACAATTTTTCTTGCCTGAGGTCACAGCAGTGAGAAGGAACTTGAGTTTCCACTTGCTGTTCTGGTGGAAATGTCATGGAGAAA